GCACACAAAGCTGCTGCCAATTGCAGTTGGCTTGTGGCTGGAAAACGGCGGCTATGTGGTGGCTTGACGTTTAATTTAAAATGAAATACATCAGGCTGGCCAATTATTTGAGCAATTTTGCAAATTAGTGGCCCAAGTCATTTGGGCAAGCCCCAAAAAGGGCGCCGGCAATTACCACAGGCAGTGTGCCACCCCTTTCCTCTCCGTGTGGCGGCGATGCAAATAATTGTAGCACACTTTCCCGCAGCCGCTGCTGCTAATTACCGCACAAGAGAGACAATTGGATCTAGAGAGAGCGAAAGTCTGAGCCCCGAATGCACAAATGCACAAGGTTAACACAGCTTGACTTTTGTCAGCGCCGTCTCAAGTGTGTCGCCAGCCGACAATATCGCACGCACATAGCCTCGTATAGTCTTTGGGCCAAGTTAAAACGCATTTGTGCCGAAAACAATGGCGCCCAGCCAGCGAAGGGTGAAATCTGAATGGGATTTAGACAACAAAAAATAACAAGAACAGTCAAAGCGGGCCACACAATGAAATTTTAATTAAGTCTGAGCTTGGAGCTCGCTTTGTGCTGATGCAGCCGAATGAAAATGCCACTGATTATGTTTGTACACCGGCTACCTCTTGTTTTCCTTTGACTTGAATGGGATATACGGGTCTGGGATAGTTGGGAAAATGTATTAAGTCAAGGCTAAAGCTAAGGATGTGGGCCAAGGAACTATCCTTCCATCTTAATTATACTTCAGAGAAAGGACAGACCGAAACTTAATTATACTATTTATTATATTTCTTTGCTAGACTTGTTATACATGTTATAAAATAAGATATTTTTAGATTATAGTAAACAATTATTACCTAATTAGATCTAAAGAACGTGAATATATTGAATCTGTCTTCTTTACTTTTCCTTTACCAAGTTTATTCACATTCATTGAGAGTATACATAGAGTAAATATTCTTATTTTGTATAAATATGTCTCTCTCTTTTTTATTTTAATCTAAAAATATCTCCAGGGTATTACTTATTCCATCCTTTTAGAACCTTCTCCTGCTTGAATGACTCTTAAACTGCTGAAATGCTGGTATACACATATATTTGTTTGCCATTTTTCTGCATGTGCAGCATGCATTTACTTTTCTACTTTTACTTTTACCCCCAACATTTGGCCCCCTCTCTTTCTCTCTCTTTCACTCTCTTTTCCTAAACACCCGCTTCCCCTCCCTATCTCACCCCGTATTCCTTTGTTGCCTTTGTATGCGTCTGAATGGCTACACAAATACAAAACGTCTGCGCATTGTATCTTGTTTAGTATGAAACATAAATGCATTTGTGTAATTACACAACATACATAACTGTATCTGGCGAGCCTTGTTTTAGGTTGTCTGCTGGTCTGGATGCGGAGGGGGAAGAGCAGGAGAGTGGAAGAGCGAGCGAGTTGCCGGCTCCTCACTAATTGAAGTAAATGTGCTAAAGGCTTGCCCAAGTTATTCGCAATGGGAGTGTTCTTTGGCTAATGATTGTTAATGGATTCATTAGGAATCTGTAATTTTTTACTTTAACAAACTGGGCTTGATTTAAGTTGAACAAATTTGGAGAAGTTGCTTTAATATAGCAGTAAAGAAATTTCAAGAAAAATATTATTTAAAGTGTATAACTTTGGGTAAATAAATTTCAAACATTCTAAGGCACGATTAACATTAGTTTTAATTTATTCTTTGTATATCCAACAGGAAATAATTTTTTAAAATATTTTTGTCACCGTTTTAATTATAATAGTAGTTAGCTGTCTCCTTTGTCAAAGTACAAAATATTATTTCTAATTTATAAAAAGTCTTAATATAAAATATATAATATACTTTCCACATTGCACTTGTATTTCTTTACAATAAAGGTATCTACAATTTTTAAAATGTTCCCTCCATACTCAGTAAACTTAATCCGCTTGGCTCATAATAACCCAATCAACTCGGTAACAACTAATTGCAACAATTGCTCTCGTAATCGAATAGTTAATTATGCCCAGCATGCAACAGGCCAAGTCAAGCCCTGCGGTCTCCGCTCTCATTTAGTTTTCATTACGAATTTTGGCGTGGCACGTGATGGGCATAGATAAATGAAGACAAATAACTCTTTCGCTCACATCCACCCAAAACCAGAATCCAAAACCCAAGCCGGACCCAACCAAACCCCACGATTTGTATGCACAGTCTGACCACAGTGTGTAATACAATGGAAAAATTACTTGCTTACCTCTGGATCGCTGCGACCTGCTGCCAGCTCCCTATTTAATTAAGCACTTAATTATTTAATGCGCTGATTGTGCAATATTTCAAAGGACCCCACCCTGTACTTAGGATTGCTTAGCTCAGCTTAGCCAGGGTCCTTTGAGAATGACCAGTAGAGTGGACCTGAGAGCAATGCAATTTTCGGAAATTGAACCTTTGAATATTTTTCTAGTTGAGGTAATGGAAAAATTCATAAAAATTTAATTTACTATTTAAATAAGGGAGTAAACAAATTTATAACAAGAAAAAACTGAAGTTTAATTTAAGAAAACACCATTAAAATTTAGTGTAAAATTACTCATACGACATGTTATCCAGTCAAAGTTACTTGTAATTTATTTATTTTATTTTATTATCATTATTTTAATATTGCTTGAATATTGTAATATTAATAATATTATTTTTATTAATATTACTATTATTTTTAAATTAAAGTTTCACTAAATACTATGAAAACTTAGGTATACATTACTAATACGCCCCGTTAGCTAGTTCAAAATTTTTATTTTCTATATTATTTTAAAGCTTTTACCACTCAATGTTTCTTTGGTCCACTCTAATAAGGAAGTGTGTGTACATTTTGGGAAACGAGAGGGTGTTAAGGCGTCATAATTATCGCTTTGGGTAGCCGAAATTTAATCAGACCACCGCCACATACATAGGTCAAGTCAAGGTGCGGCTCAGTGTTTCCATTTGATTGCCTTTCTCTAGACAGAAATTAAATGAAGCGAAGTAGACTATTACACTTGAAACAAGAAGTAATAATGTTTTATATTTAAGTATTTATTAATATCATATAATATAATAATTATTCGATTTAAATACAACTATAATATAATAAACTAATTTTCAATGTATTTTCACATTTCTTTTGTTGTTTCTTTCTTTTGTTGTCATCCAAAGTTTTAATTATTTTTGAAAGTGACTCTTTTGTACTTACCAGAAATATGTCTTTGACAACATATGGAATTCACAGCCATTGCAGAAATTTTAATAAAATCCATCGCCATTTTCTTTGCGGCACTTGCATTTCATTCCCATATGTTAGCTCTGGCTTGTCTTTTTAATTAAACTTTGCGAGAAATCAACACTTGTTCTCTTATGGCCAGCCTGTTTAGTTCTTATTATACCCATTTTGCATGTTCTGCAGCTTAAAATTAATGAAAATGCGTAGAAGAAAATGAAGAGGACCGGGAATGCACACTATTAAAAAAACATCTCCCCAAACAAGCTTTAATTTGTGAACTATCTACCCTTGAAACTAATACGAAATCAATCGATACACAACTTGCAACCGATGTGTTTGAAGTTTTTATTGACATTGTTTATTTACATTAGTCCGATCCTGTCCATGCATTCATTATTCATTCAATCAGCAGTTTTCAATTAATGGCTAAGAAAACAAGACCCCGGTAGCCCCGATTCCAATCCCAATTCCATTAAAACACGAATCAATTTAATAGAGTTCTCACTCCCTCCGCTCCCTAGAGATAAAGCAAATATTGGTACTCTTCGCGTTGCATGTATACTAACCAAAACAAAAAAAAGGCCAGAAAAAAACCAAAACATCGAGAAACCAAATCAATTGAAAATGTTTGCTGCACTCAAATTAAAAACACAAACAGAACGGCCGCTGCCAGAGCTACATAGTGTGTAAGAGCGAATGTAAACAAAATGGCAAATAAATTTGATTTGTATGCAACAGCGAAATAAATACACTGAGAGGCAGGGAAATTTATGCGTTTCATGCATTTAAAATGGTAAAACAAGTGAAAGCTTCCCACCACAGGGAGTCCCCCCTTTTGGCCCTGGCACACATATTCTCAGTCTTGTTGTGCGGCAGAAAATTTGCGCTATTAATATTTGCCTTCAACTGGCAGCAGCCCCAGTCCCATAGCAACTCCTCCTCATCCTCCTGGTTACCCCTTGCCCGGCACTCCTTGGAACTATCAACACATCTGCCAGGGGCATTGTCAGTTGACAATGGTCCTTTTGGGGCGGCGGGGAAAGGACACGGGGGAGGACCAACGCTCGGCAATGGTGCGTATTATGGCAGCAGTTATGGGAGTGTGTATTCAGTGCATCCCTATATAAAGGGGGATTCTCTATATTTAAAAAGGCTCAAGCGGCACTTAACTTCTGTTCAAAGCACACAGAGCACTGTGGGCGCTTTGTGCAACAATTACTACCAAAAATCTTGAGCATAAATTCATTATTAATACAAATTTGTAAACCTTTGGGTAACTTGAAAATAACATTTAAATTAAAAGTTGATATTGGCTCATAAATATAATTTATTTACTTCAGAAACAGATAATGATCAGATAATATATTTTCTTAGTTTATAGTAATATAAAATAAAATTTCTTAAGTAAATAAAATAGATTTCTAATTTATTAGACACATGTTGTGTTTTTGAAAAGATACAAATGTCAATGCATTTGTAGGTACAAAAAATAATAAAATTGAGTTTATTTAATACACCAGCCATTCAAGCACGACAAAGACTTCTAATGAATGTTTTAAATGATTTTTTTGCAAATACAAATCAAAATTTATTACCCCAAATTTCGCTGCCATGGCCATTGTGCAGTTTTGCCGGAAGATTAAGGATCGGTGGCATATATAGAGGAGCAGAAATAGAAATTATTGATTCTGATGCGGACTTAAGACCAGTTCCGAGGTGGAGATTCGTTCTTAACCACTTAAAGATGGTCCTCCTGCTGCTGATATGGGCCTTCTTCGCAGTCGTCTTGATCGTTTGGCCCCCCAGACAGTCCGAAATCTCTGTGGTGACAGTGCTGCCCAATGAGATCCTGGATCTGCACCTGGAGCCGCCGAACGATGCCGTCAGGGTTATTCTGCAAGGACCCATTTATCCGGAACTGCATAATGCTGAGGATGTGCCTATGGTTGGTGTGCGTGTGGAGTGGCGGGACTTGGGCATGAACCAGACCATCCACCGCACGGCCATGTGGAATGTGTATCTGCTGAAGGAGCCGGACGGCTATGACGAGACCGCCAAGCTCTTTCATATCGACAACAGAGAGCGGAGTGGACTCGAGGCGGTGGTATCGCTGGAGGGCAAGTGCGATACCCCGGTACCCCTGGCCATGATAATCTATACCAGTCCCATTGGGCCCAACATCACACTTATCTTTGCCGGACTCTTGGTCGTGGGCTTTTACATCCTAATCTTCTTCGAGCTAACGGATCACACGTTCGCAGCCATTCTGATGGCAAACACCGGCCTTGCGATGTTAACGGTTTTAGGAAACCGACCGACTCTGGAAACGATAATCTCGTGGGTGGACATCGAGACCCTGATGCTGCTGATCGGCATGATGATAATTGTGGGCATAACGTCAGAGACCGGGCTCTTCGACTGGCTGGCCATCCTCTCCTACCGCATCTCGAAGGGCTATGCTTGGCCACTGGTCTTCTTTCTGGCCTTAATGACGGCCGTTATGTCCAGTGTCCTCGACAATGTGACGATGCTGCTCCTGATGGCCCCCATTGCGATCCGACTGTGCGAGGCGGTCAAAGTTCAGACGCCGCTGGTCTTGCTCGTGGTGGTCATGTACTCAAATTTCGGGGGAGCTTTGACCCCGGTCGGTGATCCGCCAAACGTGATTATATCCACCAACAAGGATGTTGTGAAGGCCGGCATAAGCTTCCCTGTCTTCGTAATGCACATGTTGCCCGGTGTGGTGGTCTCGCTGTTAATGGCCACTCTCGTCGTCTATCTGACCATGCGTAAGAAGATGTTTGTCCTGAGTAAGGAGCAGATTAGGGCTTCGACCAAGCGGGAGTCGATGCGGCCCCGGCTAACCGAACAGGTGGCGGCACGAGCGACTTTGATACAGGATAGACATCCAAGGAAGCCGTGCATCAAGCCAGCGGACAATTACTTTGAGACGCTTGCGTACCTGCAAACCTACTTCGGCATCCAAGACAAACCGCTGCTGGTGAAGTGCCTGATTGCGATGACCCTAGTCGTGGCCGGCTTCCTGATGCACCCTCTGCCCTTCATGTCGGGCGGTTCGCTCGGCTGGGTGTCCATCCTGGGCGCCTTCCTGCTGATTATCCTGGCCAGGCTGGAGAACGTAAAGGCGGCGCTTATGCACGTCGAGTGGGCGGCCCTGATCTTTCTATCCGCCCTATTCGTGCTCGTTGAGGAGGTGGATAGGCTGGGCTTAATCCACTGGCTGAGTGAACAGACGGTAGCATTAATTGGTAGCGCGGACCAGCGCTATCAGACGATGGTGGCCATTCTCCTGATCCTCTGGATATCGGGCATTCTGGCAGCCATTGTGGGTAATGTGCCGGTGACCACAATGATGCTCAAGCTGATCCTCAGATTGGTGAATAGCGACAAAATCAGTGTCCCTCTATCACCGCTCGTCTGGGCATTGTCCTTCGGAGCCTGCTACGGCGCCAATGGAACCCTTTTCGGTTCCACCGCCAACATAGTCGGGGCAGCCGTGGCCAAGCAATATGGCTACCATATCACCTTCCTGCAGTTCTTCCGGTACGGCTTCCCCATGACGATCGTCAGTCTTTTGCTCATCTCGGCCTATCTGCTGATCGCACACACGGTCTTCACCTGGCACGATACATAAGATGGTTCCTGAATTTCCAGTGGAGCTGTAACGGAAACGAAGTCTTTGGTGTAGAAGCCATAAACATCGATATTTCTATAGACACTCCTACCTTGGATTAGCTCGGCTAAAGAGGAGAGGTTCGTGTGTGTATCAGGCACGTTGAAAGGTGTATGTCATGACTTCCAAAAGATTAAGGTTAAGTTAATTAAATTAAATGTTGGAAAAAAAATTAAATTAAAGTTGACATTGCTATTATAATATGTATATACATAATTACATTTTTATGATATTTTAGTGTAGCTTGGATTTAAGTTAAAAATATGACAAATACATGTGACATTTTCTGATAGATTAGTCCTTTATAGAGTCAGGGTCACACTTGATCAATTGAGAATACGAAACAGTTTGTCTTGTTTACCTCTTCGGTTCCATTTCTTCTTCAATTTAATGGTTTTTGGCCCACTGTAATAATTTTATATAGCATACTTTGGTGTGCTGCGACCCCCAACAACTCCAGCGGCACTGACAATGCGTAGCTCGGCTAAATTCTTCCACTTAATCGCGCAATAATAGCTCAAGGGTGTTAAATATGCATAAACAGCGCCAACAAAACCAACAACTGCGATTACAACTGACTAGATCTCTCTGTGTGCAGCTGCAACAACTTAACCACATCTGGTCCCAGGGTCCTTGTGGCTATGTATTCGTATTATCCCACCCGGATACGAGCCGGAAGAAGCCCGCTACTCGGAGGGTTTTTAAATGTTGCAAAATAATCGGTAGCAATTACATTCGCTTAAAAAGTTAATTAACGAATTTAAATAAAATGCTACAGTCATGCACAAGGCGAGCGGGAGGGTGTGAGTTCCAATCTAGCTTATTAAAGCCAAAGCAACAACGTTGTACATTTGAATTCTTCCACAGTCGCAGGCAGCAATCAAAGAAATTCTTGGGAAAACGCGAATAACGATTTCGCCACGAGGGAAAAACAAGGCCGGGCCAAAACAACAAACACATGCAATCCGCCAATAAATCAACTAATTAAATATTCCAATTCGGAGCTGAAGTATTTGATTTTTGCAAATTTAAACAATACACCAACATACATACACAACGAGGGAGCACAACCCTTGTTTGCTGTTTTGCATTTTGACTCTGATTTGATGTTGATGTCGCGACTTGAATCAACATCAGAAACAGCAACAGCAACAGCAACAGATATGTATTGGGGAAACACGCGACGATACGAAAAATGACTGAAATAATATTAAATGAAATGAAATAAAATAAAGCGAAATTTCTGATTGCGTTGGCATTTTTGGCTTTGCGAGGTTTGATTTGCTCGCCATGGCAAACATGAAAGTGGCTTTGCATGTAAGCCGCACACCGAACAATGCCACCAACAAAATCCTTACATAAAAAGTATTCAGCCAAAGGCAGCTGGCTGTATGTGGCAACAATGGAGCAACAGGGCTAAAAGCACTGGAAACGTAACACTAATTACCGTAATTGCGCTGGGCGTGTAGGAACACTTGATGAAGGCGACGAGGACAAAACTTTAACTTGGCCTCTGGCCTCGAACCTCTAACCTCTAACCTAACTTGGCCACAACTCGGAGTCCGGATCAGTGCTGAAGGCGTGATTACAGTTGGCGTTGAAAGTTGGAAAATAAATCCGGGATTTACTCTTTAGAGATTTATCTTTGATATACCAACTTCTGAGGTCAATCTTTACTAGAGTTTGCAATAATTTATTTATTTCTTGTTAAACGTACTTTAAACTTTGTGCAAAAAAATTTAAAATATTGAATTTAAAATAGTTAAAGCTATGTAGCTTTAATCCTCCAGCCTTTGTATAAAATATAATCTTTAAATATTTCTTAAAACTTTATAATGAAAAGTATTTGTAATCAAAAATCACTCTCTTAAAAATTATAAAAAACATTCTTACGGCTTCAATAGCTAAACTAAATACATGTAACTCTTAAAAGAGTTATAGCATATATATCTGTGATTAAGATATACTTTCCTGATCACGATGCCAGCTCTATTTATCAGAATATAAAACTCGTTACCCGGTTATGCGAACGCGTCACGTTGGCATCGCGTGCGCCGGGCAACGTGTGTCGAGCGATATAACGTATACGCCAAGGCGGCCAAAAGTGTAGAAATGAAACATTAAATTACATTGGATTCTCCGCGTGTTTCTTCTCCGCTTTACCCCTTCTCTCTGTCTCCGCTAGATTCTCGTTGGCCATTGTCTCTGGGGCAGGTGTGGCCCACACGTAGATCGCGCACGTAGCTGAAATTTTAAGCACTCCGCAGGATTGGAAGGACGCAGAGAGACAGGGAGAGAGGGAAGCCACAACGGATAGTCAGACAGACCGCCGGCGGTTTCGTTTTGAAGTGGCCTTTAATAGTTGGCTGTCTGCAGCTGCCGCAGCCGGGAAAAGCGGAATAGCGAAAAACTCAAAAACTGGCTGCGGCATGCATATACGAATGTGGCGTGTTGGCAAGCCAGAATTCTGTTTAATAAAACGGTGAGGAAAACAGAACTGGTACTCGTACTCATACGCAAATGGCATTGCAACAAACACGAACTGAAAGTGTAATTATGCAGATGTTTGAGGATCAACCACAACTATGATTTATGTATGTATGTCTGCTGGCACACAAAACGAACCCAAACGTCGGCCCTAATTACATCTGCAACGATGGCGCCTCTGAAGAATGCATAGAATTAACCTCTCTCACACACGAAATTCGAAATCCCTGAGCCAAATCGCCTTTCACCTGAGCAGGACGAAGGACCGAGGACCGAGGACAATCATGAATTAAATCAAAGGCAACGGACTTAAGGACACAAAAGTAATTAACTCGGCCTCGTATGAATGCCCAGAGCCATCATCAATTTTCCAACTTGTCACTCGCCGCCGGGAGCTGGTGTTAATTCTCGTCTAATTTGTGATTCACCTGTCCTCCACACACCCACACGACCACATCGGCAATTAAAAATCCTTTAGTCCAACATAAAAATGCCATTAAATCTGTCGGTGATTATCCTTGTTTTGTGGGCATGCCCGGAATTGTTTGTTTGCCAGGAGATGAGCATGCATAGGATTAGTGAAGGGACACAAGATGAATTTGATGAAATTAGATATCGAAAAGCAAGGTATTAGTGAATTACAAGTAGATTATTGTTAAGAAGATATATATTTTATTTGGGAGCACATCTCAAGTAACTAATCTCATTTACAAATTAAATTTAAGTCTTTTAAATACCTTATCCCCTCTTTATGTGGCTTTCCTGTTGCACTCTTTTCTCTCAGCCTCATTTTTGGAATTTCTACGATACCATTAAGCCTCTTAGGTCAACAAAAACTAACTGTTTCTTTATATCGCTTCAACTAATCTCCTGCAATTACAATAAATATGTATTTACCTTGAAAGTCGGAGTCTACCGCAATCCCATCACGATGCCATCTTTAGTGGCGCACCGAAATATCCTCTGGTCACGCACTTCCATGTCCTGGAACAGTAGTTTTCCGGACTAATACACAGACCCTAGAGCTGCTGGAGTAGGGGTTGTCATGACCATATCTCAGCCGAGTTGTCCTTGGGGTTATTGTTATTTTGATAGTCCCATTGCATTTTTTACATAGCTCTCTGAGGCTGGCTGTACATTGTTTACTGATGGTCATAATGATTACTTATTTCGAGGATTACTTCCTCGCTTGGTCCCTCCTACCGCCTCCTTTTATTGGCATTGTTAATATTTGCTTTGTTGGCATCCTTGGTTTATTTGCTCAGGATTTGCAAGAATACCAGAGTATGCTCTTTCTGCCCGTACATATACATATATATAAATACACGCTCATTTAGTTTTATTGCGTATTTTGGATTGTGGCATTCGGGATATTTTGCTGGTTGCTTTAGTATTTTAAAGAGGCCCCGCAAAAAATGCCAGCTATTTTGTTAGCTTTTATTTACTTGAGGTTTGACTACGCAAAAAGGAGGCAATTATAATTTTAGGGCTTTGTGCGGAAATTCTTGAGTGTTTCTCGGGAAATATTTTGAACAAGGCAAAGTACAAAGTGATTTAGGGAATGTAAGAACCTGCAAAGTATTGCTCTAAAAAGCTAAAAACTGTAAAATAGTTTAAGCAGTAGAAGGAGAATATTTCAAAAATAAAAAAAAATGCAGATAAATAACTAAAACTAAGCTACAAATTTTTAATTTTATTTGTTATACATTTCGTAAATTCTTTTGCGTTTAAAGTTGACAATTGTGAAATTCATAACTCAATTATGCTCATCATTTATTCCCATTTAAATCCCTCATAAGAAAAACCAAAGATTTTTGTGCATACAATATTTCAAAATTCACAAAATTGTTTTTTTCACACTTGATTAATGAGGTGAATAAGTCATAATGAATAGCAAACAGGCCAAAACCAGAAAGAGCCGCCCGAAAAAAGTGTCTCAAAGGCCATCAGAGAATATTCATAAATCACAAAGACATTCATTAATTCGCCAGTTGACAATTGGTCAATGCTTGCGATTTAAAATGCATTAAGAATACAGAGAAAACCAAAATTATGCTGGAAAAAATGAAAGGGAAGGCAAAAAGAGCAGCACTCAACTGCCTGTCCCGGCCACAGAAATGATTAATGACAAATTATTTTATGAGGGCAAGGAAAACCATGGGACCGAGGCAGGTTGAGTACATAGCATTAAATGTATTTAAATTATTATTACACAGCCGAAAAGGAAATTAAAAGCGAACGGAGAGTCCTACTCCTGCCCCCCACCTGATGTCCTGCTCAAATAAGAATGGCAAATAAAACATGAATATTAAGTTGCCCGGCAGAGAGAACAAAAGTCAATTGGCCACAGTTCATTGGGTGAGGAGAAGGACTAGGCCACTTGAGAGCTCAACGGCTTAGAAAATAACCATCTGCCCCCCAGTGCCTTCCATTTGATTAGACGCCTGTCGACCGGTTCTCCCTATATTTCCTCCAATTTCACTCGAGGGAAACAAATGTTTATGCAGTTGGATTCAATTTTTCCATCCAACTCGAGAAATTGAATGATGCCACACAGCCTCTCCAAGGATAAATCGATTAGTGTGTGAGTGTCAGTGTGTGTGTGTGGAAAACCTGCTCTGAGGGCATTTTCGGTTTTTGTTTATTAAATTTTGACCCAACTGGGAAAATAGCCCCACAATGCAGCCAAACGGAATTTAGAATATTTTTCATACTTTCCTCGCACACTTATTGAATTCTGATTTTTTTCCCCTTATGTGTGAAATTGCTTTGCCATTCTGATGCCCAGTTTTCCATTAGCAGAAAGTGAGCAATTCCTTGAGGATATAAAGTGATTGAAATGGGTCTCAAAAGCAGCTAAAGTTTTGCAGTCTAGATGAAAATTTTAATTTTTTAGGCACTTAAAATATTAAGGTTTCAAGATTGATGTACTAAAAGAAAAATATAAAAATGTGTATAATTTATTTTAGTTATTCCTTAATTTGAAAATTTGGAAAATAAGGTAACTTTCCTTACAGTTTCTTTTTAGATTTGCAGATGTTTTTTATCATGTTTCATGATATTAAAATCAGATAATTACACCTTTAATCTATACAGTTTTAATAAGATTTACTCACTTAAGTTCATAAAGTTATTTAAAATTAAAAATCCCCTTTTTAATTAGTTCCCAAAACCTAAGCAAACCCAGTTTGTTACAAAACAAAAAATGTGTACAAGTGCTGCACAAAATTTATTTCACTAAAGGCCGGCTTATATGGTCCTCCAAGTAAGGCCTCCTTGATTCCACCTGTTTGTCAAGTAAATGCAACGAAAATCTTATGGTTAGCATAAAACACACAATCCCCAAGCCGCAAATGAAAGGCACAAAATCCAGGCAATACAAGGGCTCAGCCGAACAGAGAGAAAAGTGACTGGGGGGAAGGCAGGAACATAAGAAAACCTGAGAAGGAAGAGAAAAATTGTGAGGGGTGGGGCCGAAGAGAGGGCCAGATGACTGAGACTCGGGCTACGTAATTTCGTCTAAGTGGGTGAAACAAATGTTGAGATTGCAGGCCCGAAAATTCCGCAAAACGAGAAGTCCTTCTCCGTCGGCGCACCCCCTTGACCCACTGCGACGTTTTTTCATATTTCCTGCTTCAGACGGAGTCGAGTGGGGGCTTCAAAAAAAAAATAAGAAGAAAATAAGAGAGCAGAATAAAAGGAGCAAGCAAATGACAAGCCGTAAAAATTGAGTATACGCATTGGTTGCTTAAGGGATCAAAGGATACTCACACACACCACACTCTTGTGTATATTTTTGCGCTGTGTTGCTGTTGTGTGTGCGCCTCTGTGTGCTTGTGTTTGATGGCATTCGATTGGCATTTTCAATGTATGTAAGTGGCTGGCTGCTCCTCCGTAGGGTGAAAAGTTATTGCATCATAATTTCCCCCACTAAGCATTTATATTGCACATAATTACACGCCCAGCCAAAGGATATGCGACAAACAATGCAAATGGAGGACATCATAAATGCTAAGGGCTATCTGCCGGCAGGATTATTTAACATAAATCAATGGTAACCCTTGAATATCAATGCTGGGTTTTTTGGTATGAAAAATGAATCTAAAAATAAATAAACTAAATGTATAATTCGTTTTAGATATTAACATATCTATAAGGGTTATATTTAATATTATTAAGAAAAAAGAAGTTATTATCACTAATAAAAATAATTAATAGAAGAAATTCAACCCAAGAGGAACTTTAAATATATTACGAAATTTCTGTAGCCAATCACAAAAAAGTTTAATAAAGATAAACGCATCGTTCCAAGCTTATCAAAAGGGTCCTTGCCTGATTGGAACAATACTGAACGAAATCAGAATTTTAATGGCAGTGGCGGTTGTCCTCAAAAAAGGCATTCAAATACATTGCAGACGCAATCCGCACCCTCTGTTCGGAGGGGATGAGGCGATAAAAATGCCTGTTAATGTTTTCGCCGCTGGCAGGCCAGGACAATTGTCCTGCGGGGAACCAGACTGCTGCTGCTGTCTGAGCTTATGGCCGAAACCATTATGGACAACTGCAATGGCGGCAATAACACCGCCGTTGATACTTCGCACCTGAGACCCATTGCAACGCCCCGCCGACCGATTGCCTCTTGGCCGCCGCTCCTGTACAGGTGGTTGGCGCCGCGCCCAGAAGTATGCCATTAAACAGGAAAAAATCCAACCGCCACACACGACTTTCACTGAAAATGTTGCCAAAAGAAAATAAGAGAAAAAAAAGGGATAGCAATTCGCTGACATGGCGACCTGCAAATGTAACACAAATTTTGCGGTTTTGCGGCTATCCCATTTAAGCAGCTAGCCTGCAACGGCAATAATAGTAGCTTGTAAGCTTGTTAGGTGTGAAATATGTTTTGGCACATCCTATTTTTGCCATTTTGTTTATTTTCTGCATATTAAATAAATAGGATTTTCCGGAATAATATGCCAAATCGATGGGTCGAAAGGGATGCCAGGACATAAATTCTATTTATTGGCTGTGTTTATTTAATGTGAGAATTTAAAAGTTTAATGATGCCATAAAAACAACTGGCTTTCCATCTACCTTTTTTGTTATATTATATTTTGTAGTATATTTAATGAATATATATATTTAAGAACCTTTCACATTATAATTTCTTTTAAACCATCTTCAAGTTTATTTCAATTTCCCCTTAGACCTAACGAATATTCGGCTTAAATGAATCGTCACAAAAAGGAAATTGTAATAAACATCATTAAAAAGAAAAAAGGGGAAAATACAAATTTTTCTTATGCTTTCGTGGAGTGCAGACGCGTTTTTGCATTGTAAAGAGTCTATGGACAAGTCCACCTTTGTGGCAAAAGCGACTGTGTTTTTTCTAAATCCGACTTCTAAGGACGTGGTGTCAGTGCCCCCACGTTCCGCTATTTCTGTCAATTGCGAAAACAAAGTGAAACGAAAGACAAGCCTAATAGCTGTAATAGTTCCGGGTGCCGCCCGGTTGCGGGTCGCGCGTATTCGCCACTCGGTCTCAATCGCCTTTGTGAAGCCTTCCCAAAAGGTCCCGTAGTCGGTAAAGCAAGTTCACTATGTCTGCTGAATCGGATCTTGACATCGAAAAGATTGCGGCTGAGGCCCAGAAAAAAATGAGAGAGGCGTTAAATTCCTCGATAAACCAATTTAATGCCATTTATGCCTCGACCTCTAATAATGCTCGGCCAGTAGCAACTCAAGACTCTGAGCAAGATGCTATGGCTGATGATGACGATTGGTGGACCCCACGTCCCAATAATAAACGCCGTTTAAGATCAAGCCCTTACAACTCAAGCTCGAAAATTATTAGGAATTCAAATAGCCCAAAACCAGCAGCATCTGACAATCGGTTCTCGGATCTGTCAGATATGGACACGGACGATGAAATTATGAAATCACCACAAACAGTCGGTCAAAATAGATCCAACCAAGCCAGTATCAGCACCAGCAACACCAGCAACACCAGCAACACCACCAACACCAGCAACACCACCAACGCCAGCAACCAAGTCAGCAACACTCTAACCAACAATTTAAGCAACAGCGGCAACACCTGTAACAGCAATAATAGCAATACGACTAGCTGCAATGGTAGTCCAAACCAGCCCTCAGACAACAACGAAACCCCACCGTCTCACAAACCACCACCAATTGTGGTCAAAAATTGTGAAAACTTAAACGGACTTATCAGATCCACAGATAAGGTCGTTCACCCAACCAAATATTCCATTAAATGCCACCCAGATAATTCCGTTTCGATCTTGGCTTCAGATTCAGATGCGTACAGAGCCATTACTAAATCGCTTACCTCAAAAAAGGTGCCATTTCATACCTGGCAACTTAAAGAGGAAAGGTCTTACCGCATTGTCATCCGAGGTGTGCATCACTCCATTCCGGATGAAGATATTAAGGAAAGCCTTACTTCACTTGGCCATACTATCCGCTTCATCAATAGACCCAGAAGCCGGTTCGATAAAACAAAGCTCGTCAACCTAGTCTTTGTTGAATTAGAACCAGCCGCCAACAACAAAGAAATACATGAGCTTAAAACGCTTTGTCGTCAACGGATACAAGTTGAGCTTCCTTTCAAAAAGGACGTTGTCGTGCAATGCTATCGGTGCCAATCTTACAATCACACAAAAAATAACTGTCATAAGGAAGTTAACTGTGTAAGATGTGGTCAGCAACACTCCATTGAAGACTGCCAACGAGATGTACATCCAGTTAAATGCTTCAACTGCGGCGGTAATCATACTGCAAGCTATAAGGGCTGTATCGTATACCAGCAGACAGTAAGTCGACGCAAAACTGCTACATCCCATCGTAGCCCCCATCAACAACAACAAGTTACGGCTCCAACTGCACGAAGAGGCATTGAGCCCTCGCTATCTTACGGGTACGTCGCCGGGGGATCTCGCCAAACACAACAGGCTAGCCCTCAGCAATTTACAAGCCAACAGCAGCTGCAACAATTCCCACCACTAGGAAGTAGGTACCGGAAGCAGAACCAACAAAGTCAACGTAGGGAAAACAACCGTCAACCCCAACAACCAATGCTGGACACAATCCCAAGGCCAGAGCAACATCCAGGAACCCAGCAACAGCAACAACCGCAACAGCAAAATCTATCCCAGCAACTGCGTAATATCCAGAATAATCAGCAATGGCAGCGGCAAGAAGAAATGTTCATGCGATCTGATGAAAAAATGTCAGTTCTCGTAACACAACTAGAAAAGATGTTCCAGATGATGATGTCAATGATGACTCTCGTCACTAGCCTTTTATCACAAAACGCGCCAGGATCTACTCAACCAAGTTCTGGACGTCTCCCAGTTTATCCAATCCAACCATGAGTCAAATTGGACTCAAAATTGGTGTGTGGAACGCCGACGGGCTGGCCAACAAAGCACTGGAGCTAGAGCTTTTTGTTCATAAACATCACATAGATATTATGTTGGTCAGCGAAACACACTTCTGCTCTCGTTCATACTACAAACTACACGGATATGACGTTCACCTATCTAACCATCCCGCCGATCGCCACCGTGGGGGCTCTGCAGTCATCATAAAGTCCTGTCTCAAACACTACCAATTTTTAACAATGGAACATCAAAGTGCTCAATGTGTCGCAGTCAAAGTCAATACGGATCAAGGTGAAATTGCTATTGCCTCTATTTATTGTCCTCCAAACTTCCAGCGCTCCTATGATGACATTAGAACACTGTTTGAGGAACTAGGACCCAAATTTCTAATTGCCGGTGATTGGAATGCACACCATCGACTTTGGGGTTGTCGAAATTCCTCTGTCAGTGGAAGAGTATTGGCAAACTATATCCTCAGCTCTCACATTCAAGTCCTTGCAACCGGAGGTCCTACCCACTACCCGTACAGCCAGCGTACGCCAACTGCAATTGATTTTGCCATATATGGGGGGATTCGCTCTGAGCTCCTATCCATCTCAGGGAGCTTGGAACTTTGTTCTGATCACATCCCCTTGTTAATTGAGCTAAGAAGTGCTGCTTTCAAGGTCTCCCAAAAAACACATATTCTCCCTCGAAACGCAAATATTCCACGGTTTCAGGCAGCAATTAACCAGCTAGTAAACCTCAACATGGTCCTGAGATCCCCTGAAGACATTGATGATGCCACTGAGGTCTTTGTGCGAAACATTCACATTGCTGCCGAATCTTCAACCAGTGGACAAGGCTCAATAAACCCATCAGATCCACCTCATGCTCTTTTAAAACCTGAGGTCCTGGATTTGGTGAGGTCGAAAAGAGCCTTGCGTCGCAGATTCATGCGGTCGCAAAATCCGGCCGACAAAAGAGCATATCGTCGCGCTGAGAACGATCTAAAGAAGTTGCTGCATAAGACGAAAAATGATTATTTCTCAGATCTACTACGCAATGCAGACCCCACAAAACCGTATGGATTTAACCTCTGGAAAGCAGCAAAGTCAGTTAAACGGCAGCCCCCACGCAGAATCCCTATAAAGCGTGCTGACAACACTTGGTGCAGATCGGATGCAGATATTTCTCTGGCTTTTGCTGACGAACTAGAAGGTCGATTTCAGCCGTTTGATCTTGCTAGGAGTGAGGACGTGGAAGCAACACTGGCATTTCTTAATACTTCCTGCCCAGATGTAGAGCCCATTCGTCATGTAAGTCCGGAAGAAGTTTGTCTCCAAATTAAAAAATTGCACGTTAGTAAAGCACCAGGATTTGACGGAATCGATAATAGAGTTGCCAAAGCTCTGCCCAAAAAGGGCATATTATTCCTTGTGCTCCTGTTCAACTCCATGTTACGTATTTACCACTTCCCCACACAATGGAAGTGCGCAGTGATATCGATGATACCTAAGCCAGGCAAACCGGAGAACCTTGTTGCGTCTTACCGGCCAATAAGCTTGCTGCCAACATTCTCTAAAATATTCGAGAGAATATTTCTTAGCAGAATGATGGCAGTAAGAAGTGTTCAGGATGCCATTCCAGATCACCAGTTTGGCTTCCGGAATCACCATGGAACGCCAGAACAGGCTCATAGAGTAACGCAGCATATCTTAGATGCTTTTGAAAACGGTCAGTACAGCTCTGCTATCTTCCTTGACGTAAAGGAAGCCTTCGATAGAGTGTGGCACAATGGATTGCTTTTTAAGCTAAAAACACTCCTACCAACTGCTCAATATCTCCTTCTGAAATCGTACCTGCTGGAGCGAAAATTCATGGTTGATGTGAGAGGTGAAAGATCATCCATTAGAAGCAGTCGAGCTGGAGTACCGCAAGGGAGTGTTTTGGGTCCTGTGTTATACACCCTTTACACCTCTGACTTGCCCAATCCCAGAGAACCGGGGACACTTCTTGCAACGTATGCTGATGACACAGCCTTTATCGCAAACTCAGCGTGTCGAATTGAGGCTTCTAGAAAAACACAAAGCTTTTTGGATACATATAGCGAGTGGACGAAGAGGTGGAACATATCCATAAATGGAAATAAATCGCAACACTGCAATTTTTCCCTGAGACACAAAATCCTCCCTAGGGTCAAATTTCAGGACACGCTAATTCCTCAATCTCCTCAGGCCCAATACCTGGGATTGATCTTGGATAAGCGGCTCACGTGGAGGCAACACACCACCAAAATAGCAGCAGCATGCCGTGGAAAACTCAGAAAGCTAAACTGGATGCTAAAGTCCACCAGCAAGCTGAGCCTCAGTAACAAAGTGCTGCTATACAAAGCAATAGTTGTTCCTGCTATGACCTATTGCATCCAGATATGGGGTACTGCGTCCGACTCTAACGTTATGAAAGTGCAAAGGGTCCAAAACCGGGCGCTGCGCACAATCACAAATGCACCCTGGTTTGCTAGGAATGCAGACATCGCTAACGACCTCAAAATGCTACCAGTGAGGGAGCAGATCAACAGGCACTCAAGTCGGTACAATGAACGGCTTCTGGCCCACACCAACCACCTAGCGGCATCATTGGCCATCCCCATGTCCAGACGAAGACTGAAGAGACGACATCCAGGTGACCTTTGGTTAAGAGGGAGGCAAAGAACCCGAGTCCTACACCAATAATTGAAATGCCTTTGTAAATTATAAATTGTTGTTTACCGTTTACTGTTATGTTTCCATGTTATGTTTGTTGTTAGTGTTAGTCCCTACGTTTTATAATCATTGATTTGGTTGATTAACGTATAATTAAATTTGAACTTATATAAAAAAAAAAAAAAAAAAAAAAAAAAAAAAAATGTAATAAACATGATAAACAGTCACTTTCCATTTTCACAAGCTTGCCTTATTTTGTATTGTACATTTTGCTGTTTTACATAAAAATTACAAGGAAATCATTATCAAGTGGTCGCACACCCACCGCTAATTGCTCAGCATTCAGCATTCAGGATTCGGCATTCAACATCCGGCCCAGAGGCATTTCCACAATCAAATTGAGCATAAATCCAAACAAATGCTAGACTCTGATTTTCTGGCCGCGGGCTGAGTTTAATTAAACGCGCGAAAAGCGCTGGAATTTTAATCGTTTAATTGAAAAACTTTAACCGTTAAGCAAATGGAAGGAGCGGGAAAGCGATCGTGGAATGGAAACGGGTGTGGCATACCCCCCCATCAAAATAGTTTAATTGGGAAGCACCGACTTTGGGATACCTTTACCTTTAACATCTAGCTTATTTTACCAGAAATGAAAGGTTACAGTGTCTACAAAATTATTTTTTAAAAGTTCTATAAACTTCAATCATTTGGCATCCCTGGGCTCGGCTCAAAGTCCACCAAATCCAGGCGTTGCTATCGAACTTTCGCACTCCCGCAGAAAGCCGAATATGAAATCGCTGAAAAACTTTGACGAGAATCATCAAACAGATTTTTGAGAGACAGTTTTTATGGCCCGCTTTTTGGTTGCTTTGTGGTGAAAACGAAAAACGTGGCGCCAGGCTCTGTGAGAAATTGCGACAGCTGATAGTTGACAGGCATTGCTCATACGCACCGTGTTCCGCAGCGCCTCCGTTGGACGTCAAAGTGAATGGTTCACCCTTTGCGTTTTTCCGCCTGTGTGTCGCTGGGCCGGGCAGCATTAATTGACACGTGATAATTTAATTAACGTGCCAACTCGGAGCCTGGCAACTAGAAAGATACTGTGCCGTGGTACATCGAAGATTCGGTGGCAGGATGGCGATGCTCCGCGACTAATTGGGTCAGCTCCGGGCCAGGCCCGGGAAAGGAAACAGAAAGGGTGGGTGGTCGGCGTGTGTTCATCCATTGTTTTCCCATTGGCCTGAAGCCATCGTGCCCCCCCGGTGCCCGGAACGGAGTGGAGTGCCTCTTAATTACGGTGTGCGCGTGTTGGCATAGAGGGATTTTCTTGTTAGCCTCTAACACCCCCAAAGACCGACGTAAAAGGCCACTAACCAACGCCATCGCCGCTGTCGCCGTCATTAACCACTTTGCATTGTTCGCCACAAAGTATGCAAAAATAATTGACAACGCGCAAAACGGAAACAAAACGCAAAAATAAAGGAAGCGAGGCGCTTTGAACCTGAGTCCCGGTTATTTGCCTCATTATTCGATGGAAGAATGCTGTTTATGGCATTAATTATCGCGGGGAAAGTGGCTTCTTTGGTATCGTAATTGATAGTCAATAAGTTTCATGGGTTCTGCCTTCCGCCAAAGATTCCAATTGTGAATAAAAAGGAAATCGAATATATACAGGAATGTTAAAGAACATTGATTTGCTGCACCTCCCTTTTAGTTCATAATTTTAGACACTTATTTTCCATAATTTTAGATTACTCTTTATTTATCTGCATCCATTGATAAAATTCCCTCACATCATTTAACGACCATTTCGCTACATCAAAGCCATCGATTCCAATTTATTTTCAATTTCAGCACGTCCAAAATAAGATAAGCTTATGCGATATATTGGGTTCACTCAATTTACTTAGAAAGCGTATTAAAATTAAACCTGATTTGCCCTTTGAACGGCTCAATTCTGTAACGTTGCAGTTGAGCGCCTGGGCCGGCTGGCCTGCCTTGGTCGGGATTTAATTACAAACGCCAGAGCAGCTCCTGCAGCGCCAATGGCAGTGGCAATAGAAATGGCAACGGCAACGGCAGTGGCGAAAGCGGAGTGCTTGGCCCGCATCTAAGCGCATTAAGTATGCGCCGCGTGCGCCAATTAGGTTGAGTCAGCTGCCTGGACTTACGGCCAGTATTTTGCGCACACTTGCCTCGCCTTCTTTTCCGCCGCGCTTACAAACCAATTAACCTTTTGCAGTGTAATCGCTTCGGGTTCCATTATTAGCCGACTTAAGGAGCACTTATTTGTCTCATCTTGCAGTCTTGAGTTTGCCCATTAGCAAATCGACTGGACCCTGCCGACGGACATATCATCGGCCAGCGTGGCCGAATTACTTGCGGTCGAATCAAAAGCGAATCAATATCCCAGCAACGCATCCATCGGCCCGAGATGGTGGTGCGGTGGGGAGCGACAAAGCTCCTTTCAATTTAGCTGGAAGATGAGATGGGTCTTAAGACCCTCCTACTGGAGACAGTAATTGCAGCGATTACTCTTTGGGCACTTTATGGACTCTTAATAGGTTTTAGCCAGTTTAAATGAAATAAATATTATTGATTTGTTTGGCTTGCCCAATAAAAAAAAAAAAAAAAAAAAATAAAAAAAAATATAAAAAAAATAAATAAAGTTTCATTCAGATAGCTTTAAAACTGACGGACTAGTTTGCGTAGAAACGGACAAGTGGACAGACGGACAGACGGACATGGCTAGATCGACTCGGCTGCAGGGGCATAAACGCAACGCAAAAGCGTATAAAAAAGCGCCCTCTGGAATGTAAAAACCAAAAAACGAACGGTTTCCCAGTGTTGCCAGACTTTATGTTTATGAGGCTAGAGCGACCAGAATTACCGCGCGTTCATGACGGTTCATGTGCCTAGAAGCCGCGCAAGCCGCATAGTTTTCATCTGGCCACACTTACACATTGGCAAAGTTAAAATAATTATTAAACTTTTAATAATACATTCTCGGCCAACATGGAAAGTGACAGCGATGACAGCGTGTCATCTTACTACTCCGCGCTGGACACGAACCCGATGGACGCATCCATCTGCGCTCCGATGGCGAGCCATGAGTTGGAGTCCCTGGAGCGGAAACTTGGCCAAATAATATTCATCCAGCAGACGGATGCAACGTACCACAAGGCCCTGCGCGACATGCGGGACCAGAACAGCCTGTCGCTGCTGGTGGAGCCGAGCTTTTATGGACGGTACCAGACCACATCGGTGCTGGCGGTGGCCACGTCCAACAAGACATATATATTCGATGTCCGGGCCCTGGGCACCATTTTTAAGGAACTGGCCGCAATCCTGGAGGCAGAGCGGCCCCGCAAGGTGGTGCACTACAGCCATCGAATTGCCGATCACCTGCATCACCGGTATACTATTAAATTGGGCGGAGTTTGCGACTCGTTCGTCGTACTATGCGTGGCCCGCCAGGAAAAATCGCCATGCTCGTTGCCCGAGGCCATATCCCTGGTGTTTGGACTGCCGCTGCAGGAGCTGCTCTGCGAAGAGGTCACCGGAGGCAGTGAATCGCGCCGAAACTTCTCAGCTCGTCCACTCACCCAGAGTCAGATACGTTATCTAGCCAGGATGGCCATTTTACAGCACAGGATGCATGATCATCTTCATCTGATGTACGGCAACATTTGCTCCGAATTGCAGGGCATGTCGCTAGCCTTCAGCCAGAACTACACTCATCTCGAGAAGTCTATCGATTTGGCTGTGAACATGGCTCCCGCCAGTCTCTTTGGATTCGGCTCCATAGATTTGCTGCCAACGGCCAAGGAAATCGATGACCACGAGATGAAGCACCGAAAATGAAAAAGTTAATGGAAATCTGTACCTACGTCGTTCCCAACCATTTTTGCATGAAGTTTGGATCAATACCGCCTGCACCTTGTACATCATACATACCATAACTCCCTTTCTGGATCTCATTTTATTTCACTATATCAATAGCTGCCATAGGAAACTTGTACAAATTCCCATAATATATAATAAGTACCGTAGGATATTACAGATCTCCCATGTATACATAGCTACTTGATAACTATTGACTGAATAACAAGGACTTTGTAGACTTTGAAATGAAGCTTTGATTCGTTGAAAATGAAATAAATGTATTAAAATTTTTTATTTTCATTTAAATATAGTAAAAATATAAATTATAAATGAACTTATCAAAAATATATAAAAAGTTTTAAATGCATTTTATAGCAAAAATGTCTGACTAAGATTAAACAATAGTTAATCAAAATTAAACAATTTAATTCGATACTTTCTTTAGCTTAGGTAGGTGTATGAATTATTGTCGGAACGCTCGAGAATACTCTTCTCGATCAAATACTCAATTTCTTCTTTAATTAATCTTGTGTCCGGCTTGAAGTGATTCTTCAGCTCCTCGATAACCTCGCCAATTAGCTGAATGTGATTCATAGTCATTCGCTTCTTCATAATCCGCACCATCACACACCGGAGTTGAATAGATCGCTTTTCCTTCAATTCTTTATCATGGTATTTCGGTTCGATTTTTCTTTGCTTGGTTGAAACCGTGTTGATGTTAAGATGACGTTTTCTTCTTGTAAATTCCCTGGCCACTTCCACAGTGCAATTAGTGGTTAGTGGCTCGCCACAGACAAGAATTCTCTCCCGTATACAACCCTCCAAAATCTGAAAAATGATTGAAACTAATTTCGTTAATTGATTGAAAAATAAACTACAAAGAATCTAGTTAAATAAACTTAAAGCTCTTATAGTAACAGGATGTACTCATCGTGTTATTAAGGTCTTTGCTTAAAGGGGGGATTAAGGTTTTTAATTTTTTTTTGTAATTTTTTTGTTTTTTATATCTAAAAAATATTGTTTCCAAGTTTTAAATCGATCGTATCAAAATTTAAGAAGTTAAATCTACTAGTTTGGAATTTGGAACTTCTTTAACTTATTCTTTAGGTCCTTACGTACTATACGACCTTTTTTTTTAATTTTAAATTTAATAATATTTTTTATTTAACAAATGACTCAGGAAATTTCCTATTACTCGTAGACCTGTACATATTTTTCCCCCTTAACTGTTCTTATTTCACATAAAGCCAAACTCACCGGTATTATGGTCTCTATTTGTGTGCCCAAGCTGACCGCCAATTCCTCGACCGTGTACCTATCCTTCTGGTTGAATTGAAGCAGGAGCGCCATTTGCAGCATGCCCACCTTCACAAAGTAGGGAGAACTCCGATCGATATTTATGATAATCTCCCCAGACGATTTCTGAATATTAAATTCCAATTTCCGTCTTTTGTACGCATTGAGGAAAAATGCTCTGAAAATGTCAACGGTTCGCTGAAGTTCAAAGGGCAATATCAACCCGATATTGGATGCAATGTCTCTGGCATTAAAGCACTTAAGGCGAAAATCGTATCCCAGTTTGATATCCCTATCCACCAAATAGGAATCAAATTGATCTTTTATGACATTGGATTTCTGCATCTCCTCCAACTGCTTTGAAAGGTTCGTGGTGGCTTCATGGCCGAACCTCTTTGCTAGCAAGGAAATCATCGTTACCTCTAGGTCGTCGGAAGTGGATGTTTCGTTGATTTGTCGGTTTTGCAAAGCGGCTCTGTATCGCATGAGAAATAAATCCTTGTCGAAAATGAATTCCACCACCTCGACGATCCGCTTGAGCTCGTCCTTGAGCGCTTCTTCCGACGGATGCTTCGTTGTCATCAGTTGGTGGCAATACCTGACCAGCAGTTCCGTGGCTGTCATCTTACTATTGATCTCGCATGAATTAATTGCAGTTTCGCACACCTGATCGATGACAAAGAGCAGTTTCTTGTGCTCTCTAAGACCACGCTCTAGAGGTCCGTGCCGCAATCCACATATGGCCTGGACGTAATCCTTCCCTCCCAGTGATTTTGCAATTGCATCTTTCAGCTGCGGTGCTATGTGGCTCTTTAGGAATGCCTTAAATTTCTCTCCCTCCTCGATCTCGGGCATCGCCAAGCAGGCGTACTTGAGGAAGGGCTTCAGAGCGGAGTATCTTTTGGTTAACAGGATTCTTTCAAACAGCTCCGTTGTCTGTTTCGCGTATAACTGCAGGACTCCCGATTCCATTCCGAATATATTTATCAACTTATCCCGAACCGTAGTCTCTTGCCTCACATCATTGGCATACAGCTGGACAATGGACTGGAGCACCTCGTACACCAGGGAGGAGGCGTATTTCCTCTGACGGATAATGGCATCCACCAACGACCTGTCGATGGGCCTGAAAACGTGCTCCATCCAGAGGTGCATGGCCATGGGGTATACCTCATAGATGTTGCTGTGCCCCACCTGTCGTTCTCGCTTCACCCAGTTGACGTTGAAATAGCGGCACATGAGGTCCAGTTCGGCACACGCCTTCTGGTAAGGCTGCCATTTTCGATGATAGACGATGAGCAGCTCCTCGTATTCCGTGATGGTCTCCAGTTCCGCTGCCATTTCCCTCAGCCGGGCGGTAAGGAAAATGGTCAAGCTCTCATACAGGTGCTTCCCGGGATCCTGGGCCCGTACACTGCCATTGTTGACAAAGCTGGAGCAGTGGCGGTAAATGTAATCGTGGAACTGCATCTGTTGTTTGGTCTCTAAGGAAATGCCCTGGTTAAAGATTTGATCCAAAAACTCGCACTCCATCTTCCAGATTCCATCCAAGGAGTTGTTGTGCCACTCTTCCCGATTCATTGTGACTTTTTTTAACCCTTTAAGATAAAGATACAATTTGTAAAGAGGGGGAATCACAGAAATTTCACTGCAATTATCTTTAAAAACTTAACCTTTGCCGTTTCACTCAGTGACTCGCCTTTCTTTTCCTTTGTACTTCAATCAGAATGAAAGGGTAAAACTTACTTAAATCGGCAGGAATAAGGAATAAAATGATTAATCGAGATAGTAATTTCTTATCAAGAAAATATGAGAGCTTTGAGTTCAGTGATGGCAGAAATTTGATGATCTTCAAAAGCTATCGATATCTGATACACAGAAAAAAAGTTAGTATTCATATTTTTATTTATTTATATTTTTCTTAATTTTTATTATTGTTATAAATTCGCTTATTTATTTCTCGTATAAGAAGGCAGCTCTTTTGATTATTGGGCGGGCTTTAGACGGATCTGGTTTCTGCTCTGCTTATCGATATCTCCACACTGAAAAAAAACACCATCGCTAAGCTATAAAAAAAAGTAAATAAATAAATATATATAAACAAATATATATGTACAATTAATAAAAAATGATATTTGCCACCAAAATAAAGAAAATCAAAGTTTCAGTGCCAAAATAAATTTATTAAACATAATGAGAAAATATTGTTTCCTTGCTTTTTTTACATTTAATGGAATGTGCATATCTATGGCAATAAAAAATCATCAGAAAAGTTTACTATTTCGATGCTTTTAAAAAGAATAAATTTTTCAAATGTTTCTTTTTTATCTTTTCTAAGGCAGGCGTCGATTCCGACTCGTCGGCGTCCAGGGCTTTATCCTTTTTATGTTCATCTTTGAGCTGCTTTTTCTCCTTCTTCGACATTTTCTTGTCAAACTTTTTGCCACTGTTGGGAACGGCAGAGATATCGCGCTCGGAATTGTATGTATGCAGCCGGTCCTTGATGCTCATATCCTCCTTAGCTTCCCGAACCCGATCGGTCTCCAGACTGTCAATCACGGCGTTGCGCATCTCGACTATTTTGACGAGACGACCTATTAATACCTCTTCGTGGGCCTTATCCGAGTCGGTTTTGTTGCGCTCCGGCTGACCCATTAATACTCGAATTTCGTGCTCAATGTCCGCCTGCTCCTGCTCCAAGCGATGCTGCCGGCGAAGGTACATTAGCTCTGCTTGACGCCTAAATAGTTCGTTCTTCTCGTTAACCAGCTCGAACAATTGCAGTATAAGATCCTCGACTTCCTTGGAATTCGCCGCCTGAGTCTCTCCGCCCGGCGCCGCAGATCCCTCGTCATTTATATTTTCCATTACTTCGCAGCGATCCCTGATCATTTTCTCAAGAATAACGCCCTGCTTCTCCAGACCCAGCTGTTGTACAGCAATAATTTCGAATTCATGACGAATTTCCTGTAGTGGCAGCCTCTGGAGCACTTTGCGCGGCGGTATAGGCACGGCAGGGGCCGGCCCCTTCCGCCTCTTCCACTTCCCGTGCGTTGACTTATTAAAGGCCAATGGACTATTGAAGTCATTATAATCGATAGGGGCAGCAGGGCTTATCGCTTGGTTCCCCTTCAAGTGGTCCGGCGTCATGTGTTCGGACTGCGTCGGTGGAACTAAAATGCGTCTATAAACTATGCTTGCCTCCTCGTCGGCGCTCTGACCCTCCTTGTAGTCAGACGACTCACGGGTCTCATCTGACAGTAGGCTCTGGTCCAGTGGTATCAACCTTCTGGTGGTGTCACTCGGGTTAGAGCCGGATTTCAGGAGCTGGTCGTGCAGGAGCGCCTTCTGTTCGTCGGATAGTTTCGAGAAACCTGGCTCCTCAAAATGGGGCTGCTTTGGCGGCTGCGGTGCTGGGCGCTTTTTGCGCATAGGCGAACTCAGATCTTCGTGCCTTAAGTTAGCTGCTGAAGCGCGAAGCGGCTTGGGAGGCCCACTGGCCGATGGCAAGGAGATACTGGAGCCACGCTCATCCGTATCCCGTTGGAAGGCTTTCGGCATTTCCAGGTGCTCCGTCGACGTAGAAAAGCGATTGGTACGGGCGCCTGGAGAGGGAGCCTTGGCCTTTGGCACGGATTGCCTTGGGGTCGGCATGGGCATCTTTTTTCTTTGAGAAGGTGTCGGACTCTTGGAATGTAGTTCCTCTGGTTTATCACATTTGGGTGTTGAGCTGTCGCTTCCTTTGTAAGGACCTGGCTTCAAGAGCTCCACCTCATCGTCGGAGCTGTCGAAGGGATTAAGGCTGTCGTCCTCTTTAAAAGGATTTAAATCTTCGGGATAATCAGTTTCCGTCTCCGAAATAATCTTCTTAGGAGACTCCACAGCTGGTGGTGTTTTAGCATCACTTTCTTGTTCGGAAATACTTTCGTTTGTTATACTTTCTTTTTCTTTTTCTGCTTGGCAGTTTACTTCTTTATCAGGCTTACTGTCTTTTTGTTGGTGAGTCACGTCCAGAGCGGGTAATTCCTCAGTGGCCCTGCCTGAATCATCCAACTCCTCTTCATTTAGTTTCTCTGAAGAACTTGCTGTCACTAGAATTGTGTAATCCTCTTTGGGCAGGGAAGTTGGAGGCGGACTAACCGGTGTTATGGGAGCTTCAATTTCTGGTAAAGTTCCTTGCTTTTCATCTTCTTTAGGTTTTATCCCTTGTTCTTTCGGCTTTAATGGCGTATCACTAGCATCATCCCGTACAACAGGTTGAAGTGAAATCTCTGTTTTAAATGTAATATTTTTCTTTTCGTCTGGTTTAGTACTTTGTTCGTCTGCTTTTACTGGCGTTTCTCCAACATCTCGTAAAGCGGGCTTGGGTGAATCCTCAGTTTTGGGCGATCTACTTTGCCTTCCATCTTGTTCAGTACTTAATCTTTGATAGTACTTAATTCTGTCGCCTATTTTTGAGGGCGTTGCTTTGGGTTCGAGGGATTTGGGAGAGGCCAAGCCTTCTTTCTCCTTACTCACTTCCTCCTTTTCCTCCTCCTGGCCCTCCTCCTCATCGCTGAAGTAGGCCAGGCCTCCGATGGCAGCTTGATCCTTAGATGGCGTACGATTTTCAATATCAGTTGTTAGGCTAAATTCACTCTCCTCATCGGGACAGGTCTCACAGCAGTACGTATTATTAATCTCCGTCTCGTAGAAGCTGCCTGGCGTTAGCAATGATCCACAGCGGGCACATTTCAGGCAAGTCCGATGGTAGGCATGCTTTCCCACAAGGACCCGCTCGGCGAGAAAGACGGGAAGCTCACACTTCTGGCACTTGTCGCGTCTGGGCACGCCGACGATATGCATCATCTTCTGCGGCGGTTCACCCTCGTCACATATGGCTTCCTCGGCCTTCGGCAGCTTGAAGTTCTTTCCCAGCACCCTATAAAACTGAGACAGGTAAGTGAGGATCGATAGGCGGTCGGGGACCTCGTAGGAAACCATATCGTCGGCCTCGAGCAGGGCAGGAATACCCAAATACTTCTCAGCCGTGGCAAAGGCCAGGCTGTTGTTCTCGTAAATATCCGCAGCCTTAAGTTGGTCGAATTTGATTAAATCTGGACGGAAGTAGTGGATGATCGCACAGAAGGCGAGTCCGTCTCTCCACGAAGTGGTCATATTCTCGACTTTGACTCCCTCATAGCCACTTGTTATAAGACGGCACCAGTGCTCCAGGGCCTTTGTGCCACGACGTTCCATTTTCAGTATCTTTCCGTTTGCAAAATCAGGAAATTACGCGAAATCATAAAGGTTTAATGGAATGGCAGCGTCCCTTAACAGCGGTAGCAACGGCATGTCACTCGGGCTCGGGTAAAATCAATTTGAATTTTCTTATAGAAATCACATTAAATGTAAACAAGAGTGGTGACTCAAACAATCAAGACGAAATCAGTCCAATGGACAGGGTTGCAGGTTAACAGGTTGTCCTGAGCAATCGATAAATCAAGAAACGATAGACCCAGAGAACGTCGCTTGGTCACACTGACGATAAGAACCCGCAGCTATCGAAGTTACGCCGGCACGTGTAGTTAAGTAAAAAGTCCACTTTTTAGCTTTTCCCGTGAGCTCCAGTTTGCATTTAAGAACAAGAATGGTGAGTTGAACATCTATTACTTAACATCTAAGTAAAACCGCAGTGCAAACCCATCTGTTGCATGTGTTTCGAGAAGCTTCCACAACTAGTATACCCCCGCTGACTTGCCGGGGGAGGACTGTTGTGTAATCAGTGTGTGTGTGTAAAACATGGGTTAATTTGTTGGGGGGCTTTCTTTACCCATTGTAGGCCGCCGCTATCAAAAGGATCATCCCCATGCTGGACCGCATCCTCATCCAGAGGGCCGATGCGCTGACCACGACGAAAGGCGGCATCGTTCTGCCGGAGAAATCGGTGGGCAAAGTGCTCGAGGGCACCGTTCTCGCGGTCGGTCCCGGCACCCGCAATGCCGTAAGTATTTCCCAATTATCTCTGAATGGCAATCATCTAATTTGATCATTCTTTTGGGCACAGACCACCGGCACCCACATTCCCATTGGCGTGAAGGAGGGCGATCGCGTTCTTCTGCCCGAATTCGGCGGCACCAAGGTCAATCTGGAGGGTGACCAGAAGGAGCTCTTCCTGTTCCGCGAGTCCGACATCCTGGCCAAGCTGGAGTAATGTTGCCGGCCCGGACACTGTCTCACAATTCTATGAATTCTATGTTTTTTATTAGTACGTAACACCACACACACAATCCCCAAAAATATAATAAACCGCTGATGCAATATTTTTGTTTGCAATGCGCATGGACCGCCAGTGAATAAACTTCGAGTTACTTGTTAAATAGTAAAACAAAAAGGAATTACAATTCAATAAAAACTGATCTTTGCAACCCGTTCTGTAAAGCAAAAAAGACTACAGGATAATCGTTAAAAAATCTATATTTGAATTCCTACTTAAGATAAGGTTAGGCTAATCCAGCTTCAGGTTCCTCAGGCCATAGACCTGGTTGAAGGCAGACCTCCGCTTGATATCCGGCAGTCCCTCGACCGCCGCTCGTTCCCGGGAGATGTTAACCAGAGCCTCAAACGAACGCGGCTCCCAAATGGCCAGATCGGAAAGCATTTTCCTGCAAACACAAAAAATAATTAGAGTGTGTTTGGCCATATCTTGGGGGTTACCTACTTGTTGAGCAGGATATCGGAGCGGGCTAAACCATCCTTGAAGGTCTCCAGACCCATGCCGTACTGCTGGCATCCCGCCTCCACGCGAGTCGTCCACAGCTGTGCCATGTCCAGCTTCTTCAGCTTGCGTCCCTTGGTGGCGTAGGCCAAGGCCCTGTGGACACTTCTAATGGCAAAGGAGTACACATTGCGGGTGCGGCTACGGTAATGCTGCAGGAGGTAAAGTAAGGATTATTTGATTTTATGCTCGGAAAGAAAATGTTTGAAATACTTGCCGCTGCCAGTTTAAAGATACGCCGCTTGCGCCAGAACTCATCCGGACCACGGGCTCGCACCATCAGGGCCAGGTTTAGGAACACCATAGCTGGATTTCGGCAGAACTTTTAACTAATTATTTGCCTTTTTTAATTGATCTAAAGAAATGTATTTATTTTTTACATAACCTGCACCGCACTTTTAACAGCTGTTTTGTGGGTCAATCCGATGATTTATCGATGGAAGTTTATAAATATCGATATACCGTCGTATTCCAAAAAGTATCGTCTGCAGGAACAGTAGATATTCGTTATAAACGATACAATTATTTATGCATTAAATAGTTTCATTAAATATAAACTAACGCAATTTCAGCATATGCAATTTTTAAGCATGAAATAACTTAGTTTGGCCTGTGGCGTCTCATTTAGCTACTGTTCACTGTAGAACCTATCGTTATCGCCAGCTTGCCGGTTTATTTACATTTCGGTGCATCGAACCGAGCAAATGTTTTAAGAAAGTTAAATTTCCGTGTTTTGGCGCACACATTCTGCACAAATAGTGTCCCGATCGATTCCTCATGTGCGCAAACAGCCCACGCGTCCCCGCCGCGGGAGCAAGTGGCTCCCCCCACTGCACCCCGCTTTGCTATGACGGCCGCATCAGTTTATATTGCTTTGTCATCACCGCAGCTCTAATCCTGATCCCCTCGGTACCGCAGATCTACTACGGAATGGTCCCCCAGGTGTGGGGCGCCGTGCTGTGGGGTCCGGTGCTGTACTACGCCCTGATCAACATGGTCATACGTTTTGTGCTTAGGAACCATGACTATCAGGTGACTCACATTCGATACGCTCACCTTGTATTTGTATTTACAATCTTGGCCCCACAGGTGGCTATACGAGCGTCCTTCCTCGGCTTCGCCATGGCCGTGAGTGTGTTGGTAATCTGCTTTGCTCCCACCGAATGGCAGCAGTTTGGCGTATATGGATGCTTCATGTCCGTCTTCCACTACTCGGAGTTTCTGGTAATAGCCTTTGCCAATCCGCGCACCCTCACCCTGGACTCGTTCATGCTGAACCACTCGGTGCACTATGGACTGGCTGCGGCCGCCAGCTGGTTGGAGTTCGCGCTGGAGGTCTATTTCTTGCCGGAGTTCAAGCGCTTCGGTTACATTTGGCTGGCGGGCGTGGTTCTGTGCTCGTTTGGCGAGGTTGTGCGCAAGGCGGCCATCATCACAGCCGGACGGAGCTTCACGCATTTGGTTAGTTGAAAAAATAATCTAGTTTTGAACTATGTATATAATGCCTCTTGTAACCCACAGGTCCAGAATGAGCGGCACTCGGACCACAAGCTCATCACAAACGGCATTTACGCTTACTGCCGACATCCTTCGTATGTTGGTTGGTTCTGGTGGTCCATTGGCACCCAGATCGTGCTGCTGAATCCGATATGCATCTGCATCTATACGCTGGTCAGCTGGCTGTTCTTCCACGATCGCATTTATGTCGAGGAGTACTCCCTGCTCAACTTTTTTCAGTCGGACTATGTACGCTATCAGAAACGAGTGCCAACGGGATTGCCCTTCATCCGGGGCTATCTGGTCGATTAGCAGCCGATCTAGAGACCTGCGGTTCAATGTCACAACATTGTTTCATTTTTAGCTTTAGGTAAACAACGTACAGCCAAAAAAGCACATTGTATTTTTGAAAATAGGTTCTTTCTGATATTTTAGCTTGTTTTTTTTTCAATTCACATAAACTAGTCAAAGCCAATTGCTGATAATCTAATCTGTTGACGGGTCAAGGGATTGCAAATTTATGGGGGCTTCTAAATCACACTTTGCGGCACAGCTGGACGAGTTTATCTGCCGAGCACAGACAATAAGACTTGTGATATTTGGCATGTGGTCGATAGAACCTATTGGTTATTAGCATCATAAAGCTATCAAAGTTTTCCTCTGAAATTGTGGGAAATTCCATAAAAGCCCTTTTCACTGCTATTCTATCTTACTTTTCTCTAAATAGGTTTTTTGTAAATAGTTTTTCTCTCAGGATCTTTTATCCACTGATGATTCAAGGGCTTCTAACCTGTGTAATTATAATAAATTCTGCTGACAAATCGGCCTAATAAGGCGATGAGGCGACGTCTTTCGTAATCAGATAAGGGCCTTCAAGTATCAAGTATGTATACTGAGACGTGCTTAATAAAATGTTGAGGCAATCCCCACGTATTCCTATCTGGCAGTGAAAACAAAGATTTCAAGTTGTGCAAACTGTTGGCTTGTGTGATTCTCTCGCGTGTGTGTCACACTTTTGTTTTATTATCAATTTAAATTCGAATATTGCTCTATCTATAAGACACAAGCCTCACACTCTTGCTGATCCACATGGGTGTGTGTGCTTGTGTGTGTGTGTGTGTGTGTGTGTGGTGTGTCTGAGTGTGGGTTATATGTACAAACAATTATCAGTGTTAACAAAATGTCTTAGTCACTCTCATTTACTTAATTAACAATTGCAAATCTTGCTGCGCTTTGCTTGCCTCTTTCCACCGCCTGTAAGGTTTCTGTAGCTTCCGCTTCTCCGGGTTTACTCGACAAACTCCGGCTTGCCATTGTATGTGCAGCCCGGATTCTTGATGATATGCCCGGCCGCATAGTTGCCACACCGGATGCATACGTCCAGCGACTTTCCCTGCACAAACTGCGACAGAAATCCGCCAACAAATGCATCCCCAGCGCCATTGGTATCCACAATCTCATGCACCGCCAATTTTGTGACCGGGAATTCCTGCACCGAATCCTGCTGGATGAGCAGGACGGGATCACAACCCTGCGTGAGGATGGCAATGCGTGGCCGCGACGGATTTAGTTTGTCCATTGCCACCAGACGTTTGCCAATCTCACGCAGATCCTCGCTCGGCCATTTTTGGGCCTCGGCAAAGGCCTGCGCCTCCGCCTCATTGCCGAAGATGATGTCCACGTAGGGCAGGACGGCCAGCAGCGGTGCCATGTAGAATTGCGATATGAATGGTGCGCTGAGGTTCATTAGGAACGGTCGCTGATTGGCATGGGCGGTGGCGGCCACCTTCATGATGCTCGGCGGGTTAACGGTAAGGAAAAAGCCCTGTTGGAACAGATTTTGCGTTAATTGTGTGTGTGTGTTTTTTTTTAAGTTCTAAAAGATCTTTATCGGGGTAGAATAGGAAAGTAACATGGGTAAATTTTAAATGAGATAGGGGGGGGGGGGGTTAAGTTAATTCTGCGGAAAATATTGTAGTGGCGAAACGGTTTAAGTTAGCTTAACAAATATGTTACATACATCCTAACTGTTCACAGAATCATCAGATATCAAAATTATATAATGTATTCGTTAAAGTAAAAGTGTACCGAAGTACTCACGTGGCATTTTTATTTTTACATATTTTTCGTGATTTTTTATAGGAATCGATAGTTTAAATAAAAAATATAATTCAATTAAAAGTTTTATAAAGACCAACGTTAGTACATGTAAAATTTGTTGAAGAAGGTTGCCTACAATCGATTTAAAACTTGCACAAAATATACCTAAGATATTGGGCATTTATAATACAAAATATAAAACAATAAAAATTAAATGAAACAAAAATTAAATACCTTAAGTTCAAATAAAAGTAAAACAGTAAAAACTTTAACATAGAGTATATTAATTTAGCTTTCTGGAGCTATCTATCTAAAAGGCTATAGATATTTTTTTCATAATAATGCGTTGATTGTTTTAAAAGCTCCCTTATTCAATTTGAGTCGTTGAAGCCTGCCTGCCTATACATATGTTGACAAATATTTATGAGATTGCACCTAAACCCATAAACAAACTTCACAAAGAGAAAGTTAAATAACTTAATTGGCATTCACTGCTTAAGAAACCTCAAGTACTTGGCTCTATAATCGTTGAGATATAATTCACTTCCCGCCATTAAGTAATTACTTCCGGTTAGGAATCTATGGTTCCACTTACCGAAATGTAGTAGTACAGGGCGTTATCCACCAGGGCCTTATTTCCCGGCTCCTCCAAATGGTCGATGGTAAAGTTATTGGCCGCAGCCAGATTAGCACAAAGTGACCGATGTGTTCCTGTAATCAGGACAGCACAGGTGCCCGTTGGCACATCCTTTTTCACCTGATAGTGTACATCCAGGCCGGCAGAACGAGCCTTTTCCGCCAGAATGTCAGCGTACTTATCCTGGCCGACGCATCCAAAGAAAACAGCCACCTTAGGCTGCCCCAGGATCCACTGGGCGATCCTAAGCGAGTTCTGAACAGATCCGCCTGCCAGGAATTCAGCCTGGAAACCATCGACCAGCTCCTGGTAGATGGGCATGTGTCGCTCCTCAGCGAGGATTGCATCGTCCTCCTTCATGGCGTACTTTTTGAGGAACTCCAGCGGCACGATGGCTGAGATGTCCAGCAGCGGATTGCCGCAGCCCACCAGGATGCCTTCTCTGTGGGGAAAACGGAAACACAGAAAACATTATTAGCATTATCCTCTAAAAGTGAACGAGTAGATTCCAGCCCCAGACCTAACGTTGCGGTCGCACATGTTTCTCTTCTGAGGGCCTGACGCTAATGCGCCCAATTAACGATTCCATTCAGCATCGAGTACAGCCAGCGCGCTTTCAGCGCAATCAGCTGGCGATGAACCTCGCAGATAGCCCCAACCCCCCCAAGAGGAGAAAGAAAATCATAGTGGCGGGATATTGGACATACGACAGGGGCATGACAGGCACAAGTCTTAAGGGGGTGGTGCTCTCCTTGGAGTCTTTTTTAAAAATAATATTCTAAAGAAATATATTGGCTAAACTGAGAGACCTGAATGGAAATATTATTAAACTGAAAGAAAGGTATGCATAACAGCTTTGGCTATCATTAATCATTAACTAAACACAGATAAACCCAGATTAAACAGGTATTATCATTTTTGGGGGACGCCACTGTGGGCTTGTTTTCGCCGCCTACGAATCTGTTTATGCCAAGAATTCGCCCTCCTTATCAGCCGCATAGTTAAGATCCCATAGCCCGTAGCGCGCCGAAAGAACACGCACAGCAACTGGCCCCGGGTACATATACATTATATATGTACCTCTACGGGCTTGTTAATTCATTCATATTTGCTCCCGTGGCGTATCTTACGGGTCAACATTTGGAGAATCTACAACAATCGAGAATCCAGATAACGAAGGCAAACCGAACACGCGCACACAGACAATCGAAGCACACGATTTTCACATGCCGCTGTAAATTTCGGCAATTATATAGTTGCGCATGGGTTTGGGTGGCTGAGAATCGGGAGCACATGGTGGGTTCTTTTTTTGTGTGTGATTAATAATAAAACCACACGAACGCCGCCCACTACAGCTACAACTTACTGTAGCGTGGTCGTCATTCTCCTCGTTGTTGTTCTTGCTGCCTCGGCTGCCTTCTTATGTAAACATAAACAAGTTATTGCACTTCAGATCACCAGCACGGGGCTTCAACTCGATTAACTCGCTCTCCGGCGGCGGAACTGTGTAGTCGGAAATAGTCTGGCAGATATATTTATAGGTAATTCCAGGGGGTTATTGTCGGAAGCGCGAGTTGCGGGCGGTTGGGAGAATTTGGGATTGTTTATCTTAGTGTTACCAGGTGGCACGGGGTCACCAAGTGGCAAATTATCTATGACTAACGCGTGCTCCCTAGAAAGTAGCGGGGTTTTCTATACACTGAGAACTATTTTTCCTATAATTTTGAAAAAACATTCTCACAATTTTTAAAATTGATAAATATTTTTTGATTATCAAATCGTTTTTTGTAATAATTTTTAGTTCTCACAAATTTGAATTTTTAGACATATATAATTGATAGGAATTAATAACCTGAAATTATGGAATACAATAAATTCAATGTAAATTCTATAAGTTGCGTTTGGTGTTATTCACCAGATTTACATATATGGTAAGAAAAAATAAATAAAGGAATTTTTTGTCTAAATATTTTCCGACTGTCCTATAGCAACTATATTATATAGTTGTCCGATCCGATAAGTTCCGACATATATAGTACTATATGCGTAAAAGCGGAAAATTTTAAGATAAAAGTTCACAAAACTTTTTTTATTTATTTGTATTATATATATTTTTTTGATATTAATATTTAAAAAAAATGTAATATTTTTTTATATAGACCGATAAAAATATGTTTGATGTAAAATGGTCGGACATGACTTTTTCATTGCCTTGCAAACTTCTGACCTGAATAATAAATCCTCGAAATTGAATAAAAAATATATATTTAAAAGAACTTATTTTCTTAAATTGTTATATGGTTAGTTAATTTAGAGTAATCTCTGTTTAATTTAAGAAATATAATAAAAAAGCATAAAAATGTTGTGGTATAAGCAGTATTTTTTTTTTCAAGTTAAGTGGTATTTAATTGTATGCCTGCTAGTATTTTTTCTTTCCTATAGCCGCGGTCACATTATCGGTTTCTTTCTTTCCGGTTTGTCTTTTTACATTCTACATGAGAATTCGACCCCAAAAACGAGAATTCGACCCCAAGCATGTAAATTGACATTTTGCTTTGATTCAGAGTGACCAGGGAGAAAATATCAAAAAATATCAAATAAAAATAACGCGGTTTCGATATTTTGGCAAAAATGTCACGATATAAATGTATTATCAACAATTTTTTCTTTCTTTCCGGTTTGTCAAAAGGTACAGAAGTGCAAGCAAAAAGTTCTGCCAATTTAAGTCGGCGAAATGCTAGACATCATAGCTAATAATGGCAATATTATCTCTTTTTCCAGTGCAGTGCAACCTGAACCGCTAAAAAATGGCCGACGTTGATGTGTAAGTGAACGTTTTATTGACGAAAAAACTGAATTTGTGCCTTGCTCGGCGCGACCGCTTGTTGATGAAATTAATTGGTCCGTGTTTATGAATTTCCATTGATTATAAATCCTCCAATTACTGAACGAGCAAGGCAGAATCGGTGTTTTCTCTGTGTAATACATTTTTGTAAGGAATTATTATAATATTTCTCGTTTTATTTACACAGTGATGTTCCCTCCGCTGCCCCCGTCATTGATGGCGCTATGGACATTAACACCGCCCTCCAGGAGGTGCTGAAGAAGTCGCTGATTGCCGATGGACTCGTCCATGGCATCCACCAGGCCTGCAAGGCCCTGGACAAGTGAGTAATCTAATAATCCAGAAATTATGTAAAGGTTAAAGAAATTTAGGAAAATGTTCAACCGGCGTTTCTTAAAACCACGTTTTTTATATGCCGATATTTTACTTTTGAAGTTTTGCAACACAATTAAAGGAATATGTTGATTTCTTAAACGTTTATTCATAGCTTAAACAATCTTTATTTTTTTATTTAAATGTTTAAAACAATAATTTAATAATCTCAGAAAAATCGCCATCTTGAATTGTGAAATCTTTAGCGTGATTTTTAAGAAGTCTAAAGTTACATTTGCATTTAAAAGCATTATTTTTTGGAATAATTTAATAGTTAATATTTTCCAAATGATGAAATTAATTGGTCCGTGTTTATGAATTTTCCATTGATTTAAAACCATCCAATTACTGAGCACATCCACTAGAATCAATATCTATTAATCCCACAAAGAAACTGTTGTCTAACCTATTATTTTATTCTATCCTCACAGACGTCAGGCTGTCCTGGCCATCCTGGCCGAGTCCTTCGACGAGCCCAACTACAAGAAGCTGGTCACTGCCCTGTGCAACGAGCACCAGATCCCCCTGATCCGCGTTGACTCGCACAAGAAGCTGGGCGAATGGTCTGGTCTGTGCAAGATCGACAAGGAGGGCAAGCCCCGCAAGGTGTGCGGCTGCTCCGTCGTTGTGATCAAGGATTTCGGTGAGGAGACACAAGCTTTGGACGTGGTTAAGGACCATCTCAGGCAGAACAGCTAAACAGCTTGTCCCCTGTCTGCTGAATGAGAGACTACGTGGAAAGTGTTTTTTATATAAGCTATTCGCTAATTAAAAAATAAAGACGTACAAAACGTAAAACAAACTAGAGCGTCTTACATTTTTGGAATGTTCTATTTTAAGCAAGCGGTGAATATTTATATAAATTTATAAATTGCATATGAAGTCGAGTTACTTCTTGAGGCATAGTTCCTTGTGCTGTGGCCAATCCTTTAGCTGGCAGTCGCTGAAAAATGATTAAAATTATTAACTAAATGTTTCTTGAAAAGTTTAGGTTTAAGTTTACCGGGAGCAGTAGTAAACCTGCTTGCAATTGGCGCACTTTTTCTTGGCCTTAGCCTGGCACATGGCACAGCTGTTGTGATCCGGCTCTGCGTCGCCACCAGCCTGGGTGTCCTGCGGTTCCCCCAACTTAAGATCCTCAAGATTCTGCTCTAATTCGCAGAGCAGGTCGGTGCCATAGGCGCCACTCAGGCGACTGGCCAAGGCGCATATGTCTGCCCTGTTCTTGCTGAGAAACACAGAGTCCTGAGCTTGGGCTATTTGGTAGAATCCACCGTCTTTATGCACCTCCTTCATTAGCTCCTCCTGAATCTGGGGAACGTCTTCGAGCAGGAGTGTCTGCTGTTTGGAGGCTGTGTTGCCGCTGAGAGTGAGGCGACTGAGGAACTGCTTCAGATCGATGAGTGGAGGCAGTTGGTCCAGGAGGGTCTCGTGCATCAGGCCCAGGAGCTGGGGGCGAAACTTTTGTTTAGAATCCTTCCTAAGATTCTAATCCTAATGGACTCACCTTGCTCAACTGCTGACAACGTGCCTCATTCAGGGCATAGTTCTCCATGGCCTGGGCATTCAGGAGTAGCTGCCTCACACAGAACCAGGCCTGGGCCTCCGGCTTTACAATCTTGGCGGAATCCTCCACGTTTGTCCACTTCTCATCGATGAATTTCTGCAGTCCCTTGCTGGTCTTTCGCTGCCAGGGACTAGGATACAAAATCAAGTAAATCAAATTTAAAGAAATACCCAGATCTTCGTCCTCCTCTTACCGGAAGCAGAGGACATCCACCATCAGCCAGGGTATGTCGTGGGTCACTAGCATGCGGCGAGCGGCGCTCAGGTGGAAGAGTGCCAGGTTATCCGCCAAATAGTTAAGAATCGAGATGCAGCGCAGCCCAATCTTGTAGATGAGATCACGCTTCTGGCGCTCCAGCTCGGTGAGCACTGCCTCATCCACGTCCATTTTAGACTCGTTCTCGTGGTAGCCCATGCTGACCAAGCCAATTACCTGAGCCACTGCCTGGGCGCAATAGTCCACCAGATCCATAACGGACTCTTGCAGTGTCTCGCAGCCACTGGGATGGTACAGACACATGTCCAGGAGAGCCACCACGGAGGCCTCGTGATACAGCACCGTATAGATAAGGAATGTGGCCTGCGGATTGGGATCAATCTCCAGGAGATGGGGTAGCACACGGGTCTTCCACAAGGTCACACAGTAGGCCTCGTGGATCAGCAGACGCAACTTGTCCCGCGAGATGAGGAACTCCTTAACCTCCTCCTCGCGATTCTGAGCCAACTCCAGGGCCGCCTGCTGGCTCAGCTTTATGACCATCTCATGCACCTCCAGCCACTTGGAGGTGCCTACATCGCGCACCTGAAACGGGCGGATGCTTTCGACGAAGAGGTATAGCTCCTCCGGATATACAAAGTTCACCATTTCGATTTTTTTAGAGACTGGTTTTCCGGAAAAGTTTGATTTTATAGAGAGGTTGTTTTCTGAGAGACCTTCACAGCCGGTGGACAGGTGTTGAAGTAAACAAGGTGGGTTGCCATGACAGCAAGTGGTTGCTAGGATTCTGGCAAACAAAATAAATTCATCTTTGATTTGTACAACACACTACACACTTTATCTCGTCAAAAAATCTTAGTAGAAGCAACTAAGCTAATGTAAGTACAATTTAAAACTAACCGAAGGAACGTATTTGGCAAACTAATTACCCGAAAACGCTTAATTTTTTCTAGCAATACTTGTATCTGCTGTTTTTTATCTCATAAATCGCTTACTTAATTCAAGATTGTCCTGAAAGAAAAAAATACTCTTACTTTTTTGGCTTTCTATAAAAGTGTTCTTAGAATATCATAGTTCAAGGGGATTTGGCAAGGATAATCAAATTGAAAATAAATAAAATAAATGTAAACTCAAGACAATCCTGCAGTAGGTAAGCGATGATAACGAAACTATTAACTTATAGATCACACAGGTTTCCGCTTTCAGGTAAGCTGAGCTCCTTTTTGCTTTGCTTTTTTGTATTGTTGTTGCCTTCCCTTCAGCGGTACAGCCGCACCTGCTTCTTGAGATCCTGATCACTGATGCGATCCTGGAGATTCAATTCCGCCTCCTGCTTGCGCAGCAGCTCAAAGATTGCCGCTAGCTGCTCCCGTTCAATCCGGCGCTCCTCCTCAATTTGATCCGGTGTCAGAGTCTTTTCCATCTTGTGCTGGAACTTCTTGGCCTTCAGCTGGCCCATAAGGTGGTTGTAATTCTGGCCAGCCGGATCCTGGTCCTCAATGAATTCCACTTCGCTGTCGGTGGAGTTTTCCTCGTAGGCCTCATCGTCATCGGTTTCCTCCTCGTGGGTTGTTCTAGACTCGGAGTCCTCCTCGTCACGCGGTTCATCGGCTCCTAGTCCTTCGTCCTCCAGTTCCTAGAAGTAAACTTATATACATATATGCATGTTTTTCCAGAGACTCGGAGGAACACCCACGGTTTTGTCCTTGAAGAAGTTGGCAAAATAGAGAGCAGTCACAACGCAGAGGAGGAGAGTGGTCAGCGCAATGGCATAGTGTCCTGACAGACCATCCAAAAATTGGCCATCCAGGGAGGGGAATATGTCCTGCATTGTGTGATTACAACTTTTGTTATTTGTTTTCCAATTCAGATTTTCTTGTTTTCTGTTTTGAGCAGTGTGACCGCAGCGTGCAAATAGGAAATACCAAAAGAAAGTTTAGTATTTTTGGATAAATGGTTTTTGTAAATTTATTTCAGTTCTATAAATATTTATTTATTTTTTTAATAAATCCATGCAAAATTCGACTTTTATAATCGTCGTAATAAATATCAGTGTACCCTATTGGCTTATATTCATGGCCGATGTATCTGAACTGACATCGGCTATGTGGAATGAGGCGTCTTCGGCAGGCATATCGTCCTCATCGGTGTATAAACGACGTAGGCGCTCTTTATAACTAATAAAAATAATACAAATATTTATTATAATTTCCTAATTATAAGATTAATTAAGCTCACAGTTCGCTGTCGGGATTATTGGCCTGATTGCGACACTTATCCAGCTTCTTTTCAATGGGTTTCACCTTATCCCGTTCTGGTTGTTGATGTTGCTTCACCAAGATACGGATTTCTGATACGAAATCAAAGAAATTATTATTAAAAATAGTAAAAATGTTATATACACTTACTCCTCACGGCGTCTATAAGTCCAGGCAGCTTATCTCGCGCGGATACAAATAGGAATTCCGTCACATAGCTATCGAGGTTCTCCTGTTCCTTGCTGGCAGCATGCAGCACGGCAGCCAAAGCGATCTGGGAAGGAGTATGCAGCAGGCAGGCATCCGTGTAAAACGTGGAATCAATAAAACTATCAATATGTGGACGTAATCTCTCCGGATTTGCCATATTGCTGCGGGTCTGAATTTGGAACGAAAGTTACGACCCGATGATTAATTGCAGGATTTAGTTACCACCTTTATGTCTATGAGGAAACCCTCGACGGGTCTGAATGGGTTGTGGATGGTTAGGTAGTAGTTCAGTTGGCCAATCAGCAGTAGCTCGTTGGATAGGACAATATCTGTGGCCTTGTTTCTGTCCCCCTTGATGTTGTTAACAAACTGATTGATGGACACGTTGAACTCTTCGACTTTGCAGGCAACAAACACGCAAGTGGCTCTGAAGAGAAATTGTAGAAAAATTAAACTTATTAAATATTATAAAAAAAATGGTGGTCAGTATCTTTACAGTATCTCCTTGGGATGATAGTCCATTGGGCTGTTGTTCAAATAGAACCGTTTAAAATAGTGGAACGCTGTGCCAATCACGCACTTTGGCATCGGCGGATCAAAGCGGCGGCAGAATTCGAATAAATGGACCTCGTACTGCTTCAGCAACAGGCGCTCTTCCGCCGGCGTAAGGAAGTAGTCCTCGAGGTCATCGTAGGCCTCCGCCTCCGCCTCATGCTGCTCGATGTACTTGTTGTTCTGCTCCACGCGGAACGCCATCAGCTGCCCCTCGTTGGCGAACGTCCATGATTTCTTCTGTGAGCTCACAGGATACATTTTATCAGTGCATATCGTGGGAAATTATGAACAAAAAATAGTCTGCTTTGCAATAGAGGTGGTAAAAAAATGCGTTCACCATCGATAGTATTCGCTTTTTTGGTTTCAGTCGGTCATCGATACTTGTACGAAAGAATCGATGTATCGAAAGCCGGCTTAAGATAAGTCCCACCACTACAAATAAGTCAATTAAATAAAATAAATAAACTACGATATTTTATATAATAATTAAATTTTAAAAAATTACAATTTCTTTTAAAGTAAAAAAAAGACACAATATAAAGATAATAGTTCTTATATAAACTAAATACGAAACATTTTGTATTATTTATAATATGTGTACAGAGTGTTCAATAATTAAATTTTGAATTTGAAAACATTTAATAATTTTACATTTGGTTTTAAAATTTCTATATAAACGTTAATTGGTTAATATTCTTTACAATAAAGTTGAAAAATAATTTTGTATTAATTTAGTTTTTTCTCAGGAATTTCCATTGCCTACTTTTTGGCATTTTAAATTAAAATTGAAAACTGACATTTTTAAAGAGGTTTATTTATGGCACCAGTTTACAGCTGACCGTTTGTTGGTCGCGTTTCGGAACGCACGTGTTATGCATTTTTTAACATTTAAGGTGCCCGCAGCATCAGGCCGGTCCAAATTGAATTAATTTTGTTTCGCTTTTGTTTTTGTGCTGGGCGGCGAAATTGGGTCACTTGAATCTTTGGCCGGGAATCAGCTACATAAATGACCATATAAATTGTACAGTTCTCAAGGGTTGACGTTAGGATACCCTTAAAATCCAGTTCGTGTTTAAAATTGACAATAAAAAATAAATAAAAATAATTTAAAATTTTTAAACAGAAAAAAATCTGTTAAATATGTATTTTTGGCTAAGTTATGATCCCAAATCTATTTTCAAATTGCAAGGCTAATCAAACTTTGGATTTAAAGCTTCTTCTTTTCTTGTTAATAAAGAAGTTGAAGTAAATTATTAATTAATTTCCTAACTTTACATATTTTTGTAACCTGAAAAGTTCATAATTCCTTTAAATTTTTACCTTTTTTTGCATGGTTACAAAAGGCATTCGAGATCAGTGACATCTCAGCAGCCTGAAGAGCATTAAAGTGCCATGCGTTTCGAATACTTTGTATGCAGGAGCTGCCTTCTGTAGCAATAAAATTGCAATTAATTTTTATTGACAACTCTGAACTCTTGTTGCAGCGCTTTGTTGCGGATTTTTTGTTGTGAGATTTCACTGCAGCAAGGTGAAGAGTGTTTTAGTGTCTTGTTTGCTCCTAAACGGATCTTCAAGGGGGGTTCGTATATTAGAAGTAAAATGGAGGCTTAAAAATGTTGAAGAAGAGACAAGAAATTCACATTTTTAGCTTTAAGCATGGAAATCCAAAAAATATCTATAGGTTTCTATATTATTATTAGTCCTAAAACCTTTAACAATATGTCTCTTTGGGTCTTGTTTGGGTTTCCCCAACTGCATTTCGTATAATCCTTACCCGAAAATGGCCTCAATTTCGGGGCCAAAACCCTCTTAAAGACCTAAACTGAGTCAACGAGACGACGACGCCTTCGATTGTTCAATCTGCGGGCTGAAAAGTTTATGCGCGTGCGCGACACACAGACGAAATGACACAAAGACGGACGGACTGAGATGGATTGCCGTCGGCGAGACTGACTGACTGACTGACAGTCGGGTGGCCTTAGCTTATCGTCAGTCTCTAGTTACAGAGATCCAGAAGGAAGCTCTGCTCGGGGCGTACTTAAAATTCAATTGAATCTTGAATTATTGCATTGAATTTCATTGTTTGTAAATGCCCGCCCGCTGTGTCTGTATCGGATTGTAAACTGATTTCATTTTCCCTCCGTGCCATAGATTTATTTATTTTTCTCATTTTATTGAATGCTTCAAGTTCGGCCGTCGTAAATCGTCACAAAATATTATGATTATTATTGGTTCAGCAGGGGCTATTGTATTACCTACATAGGTTGGGTGGTCTTGGGGGTGTTCAAGGTACCTAAGGCGAAACATATGCACCTTTCTTTTGTTATCTTTCGATCTCTATCTGCAGACACCAATAAAACTCATTGCGAAAGTGCCGAGTAGTATCTGGCAACAAGCATCTACACCAGTGGCCACTTGTGTCTCTGTGCATAAATGCATTTTAAAGTCATATTGAGCACGCGAGTCGGTGTCTTGTGTCCCCCTATCCCCGGAGCAAGTCTTCAGCTCCGATCCCGATCCCCACCAATTTTGGCTTCGAGCATTATTTCTGTTTAGCGGCTACCGTTGGTGCGGCTAATTGTGCGTGTGTCGTGCGATTATTCAGCTTTGTATCTCACTTTGTCTGTCGCGCCACGAACGCTCTCTGGGGGCGTGTTCCGAAAGATACTACTCTCTCGAACACACCGTCAGATACTCGGACTCTGACTCGTAGACTCATCGAATAGACGTGTGAATTGCCGGGCGAGAGTTTCACAGCCAATCAAGAGAGTTATGTCTTCGTACATATACTCGGTTCGGAGTGTGAGTGATGGCCAAGCGTACGCGGAGTGAAGTGTTTAAGGTGCATAAATCAGTGAAGATGGTCAGACAATACTGGTATGCATATGGGGTCGGGTCCATAGTGGCTGATGATTTTACTAAAAAACATTTAAAGTGTTGTATATATCATACCAATGTATGTGTAGTAGTCTGATGGGTGGGCATAAATTAAAGTAGGTAACCTTAGGCTATAATAATGTACAATAATAAAGATATGCATAGATTTTATAAAGAACATACCTAATTACTAAATTAGTCATGGATAGCAATTAATAAATATAGCAATAAATAAATACAGCCTTATAATATAATAATAATAAACATTTTAATACCAACATTTACTTACCTACCTTTATCGTAACCTTTGCAATTCTATACCTTCTTTGAATCTTCAAATGGCAAAATTTACCAGAATTTCTTATCTATTACAATTTAAAAAACATATATCTATTAGTAGCTCTTTCAAGACCATATACACCGACTAAAGCCATATAGCGTTATGCTTAAACACACACACACACCCTGTCCACTGGCGGACTTCATTTCGCGTTCGTTTCCTAAGTCATTTGTTTTTGTCTTGTTCTCCGTTCAAGTCTCTGCTCTCCCGTTGAGCCGAGATAAACTTGTGTCATCTGTCTTGGCCTGTCATAATTACATTTATATAGTCAACATCTAGGTAGCCTGACATTTGGAAATATGTCAGCCCCTGGACTGTTATGTAATGAATAACGCATTGGCTGGCCAGGATTTTCTTCTGCTGACCACTTGATGGATATACACGTAAACACAGACATTATGACAGTTGAATCGAGTATATATGTATATACCAATATAAATGTATATGAATATGTCGATATGTACTTGAAGAAATTTCCTGCTGTAAATGGTCAGATAAAAAGTTTGGTCATGTGTCAATGGAATGAAGCCTTTTTATGTCGGTCTCTAGAGAGAAAGATATCAAGATTTTATATGGAAAGTTTTGTGGATTAAAATTCAAACGGAAACAAGGATGCGTTGGACCAAACTTTAAGTGGATTTTTCCTTTCTTTTGTTTATTTCTTCACCTCTTTTATTTTATTTCTTCATTCACATTTTTATCATTACTTATCTGCCTAGAGAAATAAATTATTTAAAAATAATAAAACAAACAAAAAGTCAATACGTAAACAACACTAAATTAAAAGTTCTAAAATTTGACATTACAGGCTAATTATATATAAATTAAGAAAACAATAAAAACGTAAATACATATCGCACATCAAATGACAATCATTTGTAAATTTTTCTAAATTTTATAATTTATGTCTAAGTGTATCTAAGCATCCTTAAACATAATTATTACTTAGTTGGTTTAATTGAGCTAACTTTAAACCTATGAATATGAATATTTTGTACATCATTTCACTGGCACCAAAATTTGCAATTTCTCTACACTTCTTAAAATATTTATTCTCGGGTTAAATCAATGGGCTTTGGGACTGAAAAAGTTGCAATATAAACAAAAATTTATAAGAATTTAAAAAATATTTTTATGGATAAGAAACTGCGTTTTTATTTTATGTGAAATACCCTATTTTTGAAACAATCATTTCAGAAACCCTTTCATTTTTCACAAGTTGTTAGAATTTTTGTACATACCTTAACCTACAGTACTCGAAATTGTTTTGGCACTCGAACGAATTCTCTGGCAATCACGAGATGACCTCAGCCCGTCAGGGTCTGTGATCTCACCAGGGTGAGATCGAGGGGCGTGGTCTTGCGCGCAAATGTCGGGGATTCCCCTAAGCAATGGCTCCCGGCAGCGGGTTCACTCAAGCTGGGACTATTGGAGCTGCGAGCTACCGGACTGGCCGGATCCGGACGCGATCTCAGCGACAGATCGATAGGCTCCTCCAGCTCTGGACTGCTGGAAGTGGGAAACAGCAGCTCCGCCTTGAATTGATCCTTGAAAATGGGCAGAGGCGGAACGCCGGCGGCAAGGAGTACGGGTGGCAGGTGGCTAAATGGGGCAAAGGAGCTGTACAGCGGCTCCGAGTGACTGCGAAAGATCTCGAGCAGCTCCTGGTGTCGCTGGCGCTGAAGATCCGCATCCGGTTCAGAGCTAGCTGGAAAGCTGGGATTTCTCAGATCAAAGCGGGGATGGTTGCCTGCGTTCGTGGTTGTTGTGGCAATGTGGCCACTGAGCACACTAGTGGCTCCATCCTCATTGGGATCGCCAGCCGATGAGGCTCCGGAGTCACTGGGCGTGTTGCTGAGGCGGGATTCCAGCTTCAAGTGTCGCTGATGCTGGTGATGATGATGGAACTTGGCCGCCTGCAGGAAGGACGGTGAGGCGGCTCCGACCCCCACACCGGCTCCCACAGCCGCTCCCTCGATCCTCGGTGATGTGGAAGTGGCGGACTTGATGCAGGGGTTAGTCTTATCCTGATACGTTTGCCGCGCCTGGTTGCTAGCCTGCTGTAATCGAGCTAGTTGCTCCAGGCTGGCGCTGCTTACCCCGCCGTTTCCTCCTCCTCCACCGCCTGAGGCGCCTCCTCCTCCAGCGCCCGCCGTTGTTTGCTGCTCCTGGAGGAGGCAGTGGATCTTGAACCAGTTCGATCTCCGGCCGTAGCGGGATCCGCTCTTGGACATTCCCACCAGGAGGCACTTCCGCAGGCGGCAAGCCTTGCAAGCCGTGCGGTTCTTCTTGTTGATCACACAGTCGCCATTGTGTTTGCATCCTGCTATCGCCGCGATGTTGTTGTAGGTGCGGCCAAAGAAGGACTGAAAGGATGCGTAAATACAGGTGAGAATTAATACATTTAATTTAAATAAATATTATAATATAGATTATTCTTAAAACTGATAATGAAATGTGATAGATATTATATAATTAGATTAATTGAACCATTTTATGTTGCTTTTAGGGTTAATTAGGCTACTACTTCCTATAACAAATATCTTTCTCAACCATTGTTCTACCTTATTTGCACCTGTCACTCTTTAATTATTAAATGTGCGTTGATAATTCGGACAACTACTTGTAAGGCAGCCCCAGAGCCAGTCATCAGATCAACCAAGAACTGGTTGGAGAGCAGGAACCATTTACTATATCACAGCTGATATTCCCATTGTTTCGGTGCGATGCCGACTCACGTTCAAGAGCTTGATTTTGAAGTTCAACTTTGAGTGGTGTTTGATGGGTGTCTGCGACTTTTGTTTCCGATTCCGCTGACTCACCTAATATGCATGTAATTTTTATTTGATTGACTGCAGTTTACAATTGTGCTCGCCTTGGGGCTTAGCTAGCTCTAAATATATATCGGTTCGGCTGGTATATGTACGTGCTCTGAATTTCGCAGACATTTTCCCATGCCATTTGAAGGTGAGCCTTCTATTGTGGCCGCTGCGCACACGTATCTACTTAAAGTCAATTAAAAATCGATTAATCTACCGAATTGAAATTTAATTACTGTAATAATGTTTTCGATTTTGCTTTGAGTTAAAAGTAAAAGCCAAAATCCAGATCATATTTTGCACGAGTAAGTATGTGCGAAATTAAATCCCTTTGGTTTCTCACAACTGTCCGGATTAGGTGCCATAAAATATCGATTTGGGTTGAAAAGAGTTCCCAGAGTTTTTTGATGGGTTTGAAAACAAACTACTCACCTTGCAGCCCTCGCATGTGAAAGCCCCGAAATGAAAACCAGCCGCCGGTTCGCCGCACACTTTGCACAGCTGGTTCATCTGCAAAAAAAAATATTTGAGATTATTTAAATATATATAGAAAACATTCAAAAATTTATCAGAAATTTTTTAAGATTATTATTTTAAGGGTTTTTTCTATAAAATAAAAGTAATTAAAGTAATTTCAGATTTATGCGATATACCATCTTTATAGAAACGTTTATATGTCTTAAAAAATATATTTCTACTCATATAAAATGTAAATCTTTAAGAATTTGTATATATAGAATTTTATAAAATTTATTTATTTGTTTTAAAATTAAATTAAGTTAAATTTAAAAGGGAAATACTTGGATAGCTAAATAATAAAGAATAAATAATAAAGCATACCTTAAATAAATAATATCTTTTTAATAACGGAAGATATATGTGTATAAATTAGTTAATTCTAGAAATAAATATTTTATATTTACTTTTGCTTTAAAACTATTCTTTAGAATTATCACAATTACAATTAATAGTGCTTTTATGACTGATTTAATAACTTATAGCATTTATTTACACACAAGAGATGTTCAAAATTAAACACTTTAAGTTAATTGAATTTTACTTTTATCACTTAAGCAATATTTCTTCTTAGCTTTAACTTTTTTTTCATTGGTTATCCCTCGGCTAAACGTGTTGTTGAAAGCCTAATTGAAAAACTCCAACTCTGTGCAACCTCTTCACGATTGTCCTTGTTATTGATGATGCCTTTTTTCACAGATTATTTTTCTTTTCATTGCCTGTATTTTTCTTGTTGTTGTTGTTCTCGACTTGGCTCAGCTGTGATCGAGAAGACGAGGCCATGGCCACAACAACAACAACAACAAGAACAACAAAAACCACGAAGAAGCCACGCCAAAAAGCTGCAGAAAACGAAGAAGTAAAAACAACAACATGCATAACCGATGACCCACTGCGTTTCTCTTTATTTTTATTCTTTTTTTGTTGTTGTTGTTGTATACTTTTATTTTTTTTTTGGAATTCTGTTTTTTTTTTTTCGTTGTTGTTGTTTTATTTCGCTACAGGTCGTGGATAGAAATTGAGGTATGCAGCGACCGGTTTGGGCTTGCACCATCAAAGTTTCGCGGCAATGTCAGAAGACCCTGCACCTCATCCTCCCCTCTCTTTCACCTCACCCCCCGAGGCCTCCTCCCGCTCAGCACACTCTTTCCCATGGGACGGCTTCACGTTCACACATCTAATGCAATGTACTGCCGCAGTGACTTGTTTTGCCTGCCCATTAAGCCTAAGGTCAAGCCAAAAAATAAAAAAAGCTACACCAAAAACGCAAAAAAAAAAGATAGATGAAAAATATATACAAAAATTCTGCGTCAACTATTTAATGAGCATGAAGAATCCGAGGGAGGGATCAATTTTGTCATGGATATACAAAATAAATTCTTGGACACACATTTGTGTGCTAATAATGCCAAGGAGTGTGTGTGCTTTTCGCTTCACACATTTGTGAGAATTCGAGGCGCTTGAAAAAAATAGCTTGGCACTAAATTTGGTTTTTATTTTGGGGAGGTACATAATTTATCCGATTCTACAGAGGGTTACTTAAGAGAAGGTAAAATATTAGTTGGTTTTATGTCTTAAAGAAAAATGTATAAAATATAAAATTTGATATAAATTAATGTACAATTCAAATGCAAAGAAAAAATGTTATCTTCTAGAATAAATAATACGTTAAAATATTAGGATATTAGGATATGCTTTCTTGTATTTTCTTATAAATCAACTGAAGGCTTGGCTTAACCTTAAATAAACCTAATATCACTATCAATAAGTGTCACCAATGTGAATAGATCATTTTGTCTGACAGTCTATGTTTAGCGTTTTATCTTCTTCGTTATTACAATGGTCATAAATTTAAAAATTTAGTACGTTTTGTATTATATTCTAAGCTAAAAGAGGTGTAAACAAATTATTTATGTATTTGGCATGAGCCTTGAACGAAGAGACTATTAAAAATAAAAGGCAGGTTGGTTTGTTTAATTATACATATAATGGTTTTTAGTAAATTTACACTCTATAATATTTCTCTGAATAATATTATATTACGTATTCTTGATTTTTCTATTATTTTCTTTTCTAAATAAGGGAAATCCTTTTACCTATGGATTTGTTTTTAACAAATAATTATGTCTAAAAATAGAGATCATTGTTTAATATCTTGTGCAAACTTTTTAAAACTGAAGCAAATAAATATTTTCAATTTTTTAAGCAGCTTTAAATTTAAAATTCATATAATTTTCTTAAAATAATATTCATAAAGCCATTGAAATGTAATTTAATAAATCTGCCAAACCCAAGAAATACATGCGAATTCCCTTTTAAACCCGAAAACTCCCATCATTCTAGAGCCAGGTTAACTGCTTAGCCAAGGCGTCCGTAACTGAAGATTTCCCGGACCAGGACTGACAGGGAGCTGGTCTGCAAAATGCGCCCAGCAGGTGGTGGTGCCACAACGTGATGCTGCTCCTGTGATAATGGCCAAGTCGATCCGCCAAGCCGCCAGCCGCCGTGCCGCCGAATTCCCGCCGGCTGCCAATATACCCGGCACTTTGCATATAAACGCTCGCTAATGGACACCAAAGGTGACAGCAGAGCGTTGCTAAATTGGCAAACATTAAATTTGCACCTTCACAGCGAGCCAGCGCAGTGACCGCGAAACCGTGACAATTTTCGGCACAGCGGTGCGCTTTTCCAGAAAGCGGGAAAATCATCAGTCGAAGCTACAGCCCCACCACGAGATCTTCAATTGCTGACAAAAGCGCCCAGAGAAGCTCACAAGAGACCCAGAACTCGAGGCTCCTGGTGATAATCTAAAATATACAACCGAATGGAGGAGTTTTGGCGAAATGGATTTATAAACAATGAGTTGGAGCTCAGCGCAGAAGAAGTTCAAGACGGTAAAATTTATCCATAATGACAGTAAATCGATGGGGGTCAATAAAAGCAGTGGGCTTTGGATTAGGACTAGCTTTACTAGTTTATATTGATATTTTTGGAAAGTGTTACAAAAATGGAGTAAAGAAGTTAATTAGTTAACATATAATAATTAGTAGTTAATAAAGTAATACTACTTCTAAAATAACTACATTATTTTATGGTAATATTTTGAATAAATGAAAGTCGTATGTTAAAACCTATATAATACGTTTAAAAATTATATATATATATTATATGTATAAATAAAGAGACAATAAATATTCGATTAAAGCAGAAGTTTCAGTTAACCTAATATTTTAAATATTTGTTAACCAACAATAAACCTTTTGACTATACATATTTGTAACTAATGCTTATAGACACATAAAAATAATAAATATAAACTAAATAAATAATGATTCATATCTTTAAAACACCCTAATAAAATAAATTTCAAGCTATAGATTTTATATAATTTAATTTTCTAATCGGATTATAAGCCGTATGGTAGACCAAAGAAGACATAAACCACATACAAGTGAAACCTGTTTCGGATGGGTTTATCTCCCGATATAAACACACAATGTGCTAAATCATTTCGATCCTTTTTAAGAAACCCGAAAGCAATGCAATCGAACGGCACGCTTGAGCGATAAAGTTGCAGATTTCTATCCATCAAAGCCGCCGATCCTTGTGGCCCAATCACGACGCCGACCAAGGCCACCATTCCTCCACCCCCGAGGCTCGTCTAATTCCTGAAGCATCTTCAGCATAGTTAAGTGGAAGTCATGAGAAGCAGGACATAATTCCCATACCTTGGAGCTAATTAAAAGTCCCACAGGCCGAACCCCTCTGCCTGAAAGGTGAATGGTTATCTCTTGCATTTATTTGGTTCGATGGGCAGTTTTGATTGTGGGAAAACAATGAGTGGAGGAGAGTGGTGCAGGTCGCCGCCGCCGAAAATTTGACTCTCCTTTCAAATTCAAAACCGAAAAGCAGCCCCATTGTTCATTTCTGAACAGATCACAAGCATAGGAACAATCCCGGCTGACGGGCTTATCGATTAAACCAAGATTAATGTTACACATTGAGCGGGTACAAAACAATTAATTAGAAACCCAAACTGCTACAGAAAATACATACTTAGTGATCGTAAGCCAAGTGGATGATTGTTCAGATCTAATCTCTGAAAATCTACAAAATGCTGTGTGCCAATCCAAGTTCAACTCGATGGGGGGACGAGTTCAGAGCGGCTTAGACAATAAGAACCAGATCAGTTGAATGTAGCTACATATATTCTCAACAAGCTCATCAAGTTGCTGTTGACAGACCGAAGCAGAGAGGCAAATAAAAAAAATAAAAAAAATCGGGGAAAAAGTGGAAGGATTTTCCTCAATAAGAATAATAAACAAGAGGCCCAAATAAAAGATGTGTCCTTTAAAGCAAACAAAATGATGGACACAATGCCAAATCAGATAAAAGGCAACACACAGAGGGAGAAAAGGTGTTCAAACAAGCAAACCACGATTGTCTCAAATATTTTGAAGCGGCTACAAAATAGAACAAGAATCAAGAACACAACGCGACGAACCCTGGAGCATTGACACAGTCCGAAACCCTTCTACTCCGAACCTCTTGATCCTCCGATCTTCCCTCAGACAATTCCCGGTAATATGCTTTATTATTAGCCCTGCAGCCACTGGCGACGGACATTCGCAATATGCAAATCCACTCAGCAGTCACACGCTCTAGTTTGAATTGTCTGCTTCCGCGATCCCTGATCCTCAGCCTCCGCGATCGAGGATCCACGATCCAGTCGAAGCCGCTGGCAATGGCCCTTTTTCTGCTTGATTGCCGACAGCAGTTGGACAATTAAATGTTTGAATATCTCCCAACTCTGTCCCTATTCCCTCCCATTGTAGTAATTTCTTGACACTTATCGCACAAAAGGCAATAACATTATTAATGAGCATGTCAATGAGCTTCTTTTGTTTTCACCATTCCGCTTTTTCTGGCTCTCCTTGGGCGGCGGCGTCCTTAAAGCTAAATGTGAGGTCTTGGGAATTGGGGTTAGGGCCTTGATTAGAAAGCAAATTCGACAAATCCTTTATGCCTACTTATCAATTATTTTAATTATTTTAAATCTGATTTATTATGACGGGTTTTTGAGTATCTGGTCTTGTGTTCAAGAATTTTTTATTATATTTAATTTGTTATTTAGTGATTTACTTTCTTTCTTTTATTTAATGTGAAATATTTTTCTAACATTATGTGTTTTGTTTATATTTAATATGTTGTTTATTAATCACTTTTAAACATTACTTTAAATACGTTGTTTTATTTTATCAATTTATTGATAAAATAATTTATATTAATTTATTGCGTTCATTACTTTATATTTATTTAAACAAATCTATCTTCGGCCACTTCAAAGTTAATTTTTAGCTTGTTCTGTAAGATGTTGTTTACTATTATAATATTCTACATAATCAAAAATGCTTAATGTTGTCCCATATTATTTGTTGCATATTTAAACATTTTAATTCCCTTTACATATTAATTTATATTTTTAGCTAAGTTGCTACATTGATTAAATGTTTTATTATCTGAATTCTTTCTAAAAACATTTATCCAACACCATTATCTGATCTCTAATCGCTGCCTTTGTTGAAGCTGAATTTATGCTAATTATGCAAAATGATTTTAAATGAATGAAATGTTTTATTTATATGCATCAACTTTTTCCGCTTTCAAAGCTTTGATTTATTTGCTTAGATTTGTTAATCTGTTCTAACAGAGATAAATTTATTTTATTCTAGCAAAATGTTATATATTTATTTATTTCTTTAATTCTTTTTTTATTATTCCTATTATTTCCTAATTCTTAAAAAAGTTGTGAGTAATTTACTTACATTTTCCAAATGATATATTTCCAAAACAGCATAAATTTTTTATTAATTTAAATCACTTTTAAATATTTTGTTTCTTGTTTGGTTGTTTTTCTTGCTTCTTTTTTAAAATATTTCCCCTAATTCACATATTTTGTTTTTTATTGGTTTTTATCATTATTTTTGTTAAACTTCACACACTTGGCTGCTTTTCAGCATCACCAATCGATCTTATCAAACATTTTCTGGACATGCCACACAATAAATCCGATTTAGCGACGGCTTTTTCGAGTTATATCAAGGCAGAGTCACGTGGCGAGGAACATCGCGATCGATCGCTTATAAATGGAGACTTGCGAATCCGATTTCGTATGGAGTTGGCGATTTCCGAGAGAGAGAGCAGCGTAAGCCTGACTGACGATGCTTGGCAGCGTAGCGTCCATCCGAGACTAAATCGTCATCGTCGTTCTGAGCGCCAAACAGACCCGGACTGACTTAGCCCTGGCCTCAAAGATCATCTCATCCCAGCAGCAGCAGCAACATCTACAGCAGCAGCAGCAACATCCACAGCAGCAGCACTAACAGCAGCAGCAACAAGACAACAAAGCGCACGCGTCGCGGCTGTGCAGCTGTGTGCGTTGTAACAGTGGCGGGGCAAGGCGAAACTTAACTGTTAATCAGCCGCCGCGGCGACAGGAATTCCTGTTTGGCAAACAGCTGCTGCTGCTGCTGCGGCTTCAGTGGCTGCTGGTGCTGCAATAGCTGCTGCTGCTGCTGCTTTGCCTCTGGCTTTGAGGCTCTGTTAAGTTTGTTCGATCTGTTAAATGATCTGGTTACAAATTCTATGAAAGATTTTTTATTACATTTAATTAACACATTTTAGACTAAATTTAAATATAAAAGAAAATAGTAGAGAAGCTTAAACTATTCTAAAAATAAAGTAATTTTAATCCCCAAAATATTTTTAAATATAAGAACTAGAAGAACTATACAAACAAAAACTAAAACCTGTAAAAATAAAGTTTCAACTTCAAATACAATTTTTTCATTAGTTTTCCTTGCTCTCAAATGACTTAAAATATTTCTCCAAGTGCACTCTGTTACCGACTTAGCTTCAAACATGTTCGCTGCTGCTGACCCGCTCTCAGGAATCTCAGATCTCTGCTCTCCATCGCCGCTCTGGCTTTTTCAGCTAAACTCTGGTTGGCTGTTGGCACCGGCACGATCTCGGAGCGTTTCGTTCGTTTTCATTGAATATTGTGTCGATGTGGTTGGCTGTTGGTTGTTGTTTGTTTCTTTATTTATTTTTTTTACCCCCATTTGACGCTACACACGGTACTGTTATCACTTGAGTGTGTTGGCAGCGAGTGCGCGCGAGTGTTGGGATTTGGTTTTGGTTCCATTGTGCATGTGCATCCATTTGTATTCGTATTGGACTGGCTGGCTAATGTGGCAAGGAGGTGGGCACTTAATGCCCGCCGATCAGCGTAAATAAACATTGAGAGAAACCAAAAGAAAACATCAAATGAAATTTGTAGCTTGTAGTGGCAAAATGGTGAAAACAAGTTTGTTGTCTAAGTCTTTTGTATTAGCTTTATGCTCGAGTGCATTACCTTATTTTCTTTATTTATTTTGAAGAGGAATAAATTAATTTAAGTTCTTGAAAATATAAAATGTTTTAAATTGATTTATTGAATGTATTTTTAAAAATTCTTTGTTAAAAATCAAAGTCATAATTCATAATAACAAGGTGAGCCTTTTTTTAAAATAATAAATCACTATGATAAAAATTTTATTTTCCCCTCTTATTTCTTCAAATGTTAACAAAAATTGTATTTAATTTTTAGGAATTCTAAAATTGTTTTTTTTTTAATTAAAATTGAGATTATTCATCTGTTTAGAAAACAAGTTCGTTGCCTAAGTCTTTTGTTTTTCGTTTTATTAAAATGAATTTGTTTGTGGTTATCTTCAAGGAACTTAATAAATTTATACATCATTATTATAAAATCTTCTTAGCCATTTTTATAAATACTAATCATAATTAGTTGCAATCTTCTAACAGATATTATAAAGTGTAACAGGAAAAAGTAAAACCATAGAGTTAATAACTCCCTGTTTAAATTGGATCTGCGCCAGCGGCAATTGCCCAGCAATTCCCGTGGCACAATCAACGCGTTTCCATACATCTAATTGAATTCTCCTGTCATAAGCCCGATCAGATGGCTGCCTCCGTGCTCAAGATGCCCACTCAAGTGATCCTCAGGCATTCGGCCAGCCAAGTCTTTCTCTGCTCCGGTCAAGCTCTCGCGGCTTCTGTCACTTCGTGATGATGATGATTTCATTTTAATAACACCACTGGAGGGAGGCACGAACAGTGCTGCTCGGATCGTTTAATACCCTGCATTCGCCGCGGCCGTGTCAACACCACTTGACGGAGTAACAAGGAAGCGCAACACTCCAAAATGACGTGTAATTTATCACAGCACGAGCAGCATTTAGCCATGAACTGGAACGGTGACGGAGACTCCCGGCTCCAGACTACCGTCTCCGACTATGAGTCCATTTGAATCTGGCCAGTTGCTTCCTCTGGCTCAGTCTGTCAGCATCGTTGTCGTCATAATCTGCCAGCTAAAGTTGCTGCTGCGTTTTTGCAATATACTTTTTTTGTTTGTCTTTATATTAACATTTCTTTAGCCGGTAGGCAAATCTCGCATCTTCCCTCCGGCAGCCTCGAAAATATTTTAATTAAGTTTAGGCCTTGGCATCGGGCGCATATCTGGCCAGCTCGCGTGCTCATCTCATCATTCCGGTGATGAGTTGAGGCATTAGCTTTGATGTCTGCTCATATTTATTAGAGCGCAATTTGAGCGAGAAAAATTCCAGCTACCACAGAAGGCTATCGTAAAAGATAGTAAAAAGTAAGATTAAATTATGATTAATATAAATATGAGTGTGCCATTTAATTAAAAACAAACAGGAATATTCAAAGGAAGTTAGAGAAATTAAGGTATTTGCAAGGAGATTGTTGCAAGTATCTTGGGTAATATAGAAATATTATCATCTAAGTTGTTACATTTATTTTTTAAGAGTTTCTTAACCAGGACTTAATAGTATTTTGTAACAATGCGTAACCGAATTACCCGCCTAAATGGATCAATAATGCAATGGGTAAATTATTTCACACAGCTCAGCTCCCTGTTGTCCATAGCCCATTTAAACTATTCAGAGAAAATGTTCGAGCCAAAGCCAAAGTAAGATTGCCAAACACTTGAACAGGTCTGATCTGTGCACTAACATGGCCAAATACAAATTGTCTATGGCCAAAAACACACGCAAACCGAAGAAAATCAAAGCGAGACACAAACAAAATAGGCGACAAATCTCCCCGAAGTCAACTTGCAGCCTGAAATGCCGCAGAATCGGAGACATTTGGCGACATTCGATCGATGCCAAATCGATCCAGATACAGATACTTTAAATCACAATTTCAATTGAACGAACGCAAGCCAAACTCAGAGCCAAAAAAAAAAGAGTACAAAAACTGCAACAAAAAAAATCTGAAAAATCGTTCTGCGCACATGTCAAAGGCGGTAGCGAAATCTACAACGCAACAGCAACAGCAGCAGCAGCAGATATAACAGCAGCAACTGGCAGCCAGCATTTTATTTCAATTTCAATTGATTGTCGTACAATCGCCATGAATAATTCAATTTTTAGAATTGCCTTGCATGAAGTCGGATAGAGATAGCTGCCGGACAGGCGACCTGCGAGAGCGAACAGGATGGAGCGAGGAATACGGAACATGGACATATTTTCGCCACTGACTGCTGTTGTTGTTTCTGTAACTTGTAGTCATTCTGCGTCTTCTTCTTTCCAGGCCCCCATCCCACATACCCCATGTCGCTGTCACTATTATAGACGATGCTCTAAGCTAAAATAGAGAATATTATGCTTCCTATAGAATTTATAAGTATTTTATTGAATTTTTAAGATAATATTTTTATTGAAAAATTTAAATACATATTTTTGAAACAATATTTATATTTATATTAGATGTTAGTATATTAAATTCGCTGCAAATAAGTTTTATAAATTATCTTAATGACTTTAAGTATTCACTTTAATTTCCAAAGATCCTTACTCGCATTTAAAGCCCTTCAAAAACTACGAACAAATGTTTATAAATGAAGGCAGATGCTTACATTTTTTGCATTATCCTTTTTATATTGTTCATAGTGAAGGGGTAAGTAAAGCGATATGCATCAAAACATCATCTTGAACCATTAGCAATGTCGGACACATTAAGCATCCCCTGCAGGAGAGACAGGACTCTTTCAACTGCCACACTGTTGTTGCCAGTCAAGCAGCCTTGATTAATGAGTTTATTATGCAACAATTATGTGTATAAACAGTGAGCATTGAATGCGAATATACAAATCGGAGTGAGTGTCCCGAAATGAATTTGGCTTTTGAACATTTCAAGATCACGGATCATGTCAAATTAATGAACTCGCTTCGGAGCTCTTGACTTTGACACTTCATAAAGGTGTCGTCGACGGCGCGGGAAGAAAGATCGGGCATCCTGTCAAGGACAATAACCGGACTGCTAATTTCATTTGCCTCAGTTTTTATGCAAGGACATGACTCGTTGCGGAAGATGTTCTCCGATTGCATAAATCACACGGTGAAGAATTTGCATAAGTCCCGGCGAAGATGTCTCGAGTAATTTGTTCTGCTTAAAGGGAAACTAGTTTGAGTCCTGTCATGGGATACTCCAGGGAAGTCCTTATATCGATGAGAAATTCGGAGAGAAACTTGATAAAAGTATGGATATATTTGGCAAGATATTAATATATTTAAAATTTACGAATAATAATAAAAATACAAGTATTACTTATAACCCTTTTTCCAATAAATATGGGTTTGATATATAAACGTTTTTGATATCATTACACTAATTTTTCGGTATTTTAAACTAATTTCTATTAAAATTGTTTTCAATGTTAGGCATCAATATTTGATTTTCCGTTTGATTTTAATCTCTAGAATATTCTTAACTACAGTTTTTGTTTTTGTCCTCCCAGTAGAAGTCACAAATTATTCTTGAAAGCATTTTTGAGAGGCGCATTTTGCTCCACATTTGCCTTTTGTCTGCCGACTGCATTCCATCGCTCATCTGCTCTGCCCTCCAGTTGGAGCCGCGCCTTTTTTGGGGCACATATTTCGCCTGTGATGTCATCTCTTCTCTGCAGCCACTCGCATAAATCCGTAGCCCAATTTGTTAAGAGCGCGTGCTTCAGCTTCCGTCCGTCGGCCTGAATCTTCCGTCCGTGGCGGCGGCTTTTGCTCAAAAAGAGACTAATAACAATTGTGCGATCCGGTTGGCCTCTCTTTCGCTCTTCTTTGGGGTTAACAAGGGGATTTTTATGGCCTAAACGAAGAGAAGATACTCTAGGAAATTGAATTAAATATTG